GAGAGGATGCACAGACTAAACCATTCTGTTCTGGAAATACAATGGCTTGGTTGTGCTTTGCATGAGATTGAAAATTGGTGAATGCCATTTGGGAAGGTACATTCCAAGACCTCATTTCTGTTGATTCTGGACAGCCAAAAGGAAGTTTGCTTCTTTTTGTGTTTTTGTGTCTTTGTCTTTGTTTTGCATTATATAAACCACCCTCCAAAACTATTTCCGTGCAAGAAAGTCCAAAAGAAGAACTAAAAAACAAAACAAAACAAAACTTTAGAAGATAATTCAGTCTATCATCTCTCCACTCTAATACTAGGCAAAGTTCATTTATGATTTCAGTTCATGGGCATCTAACTGGGAGTGATTCATTTTCTTTTGCATTAATAGCTGTGTTTTCAGTTCATTATCACATGTAATTATATGAGTTAAAACGGAAAATGAGAAGTATGGGACAAATGTGAATTTACAGTTCTTGAACTGAAACCATCATGCCTAAGGTGAATAATAATTTCAACACAGTTAAAGAAATTCAAGCCATAAATGGAATACAAGTGATGTAAGGATATCACCAAAGCAACAAAGCATTGCCAATACAGTTGCCTTTTTGCAGTGTCTTCCTGTGCTATTTACTTAGAAGTAGGTCCTAGTAAGATCCTTAGTCAATATATGTAGGATTGTGCAGCAATATTCTGTTGAAACATTGACTCTGATGTTTCAGAATCTTAGAGATTAGTATCCCTGGTCAGACATTTCTCACTGAGTACAGTAAATGACAGGAAGAGGAAAATAGTAGTTCCCACTTCCTCCAGCATATGGTTAATCGACTTCTACATGAGGGTGACCGTGTGAAGAGGAGAGCTGTCCATGATGTCTCCCATAAGATCCAGAGCACTGATGACACTATTATTACTGCTACCACCACCACCACCACCACTACTACATTACATAGCTGAAGCTCTCTGGGCAGTTCACAACAATGAAATCACCCATCCAGATTTCTGCCAGGCCCAACCTGCTTAGCTTCCAGATTAGGCAGGATCAGGCACTTCAGGCTGTGCAGAAGCTTATGGCACGAACAGATCCCATGGACAGAAGAATTTTTATAGAGCACATTTCCACAGGTAGAGGAGAAGTGCCATGGCAGAGAACATAAGCATAACATCACTCACATTTAAAGTGACTGATTTAAAGAGTGATTTAAAGAGAGCCAGTGTGGTGTAGTGGTGAAGAGCATGGGACTGGGACTCGGACGATCTGGGTTCTAGTCCCCACTTGGCCATGGAGCCAACTGGGTGACTTTGGGCCAGTCACACACTCTCAGCCCAACCTACCTCACAGAGTTTATTTTTTATTTATTTATTAAAACATTTCTATGCCGCCCCTTGCCGTAGCCTCGGGGAGGCTCACAACATAATAAAATACACAATAAATTAAAACAATAACAATTAAAATACATACATTGGAATAAAATAAGCCGCCCTGGCCAAATAAAATTCAATGATATTAACATTTAAAATGCTGCTTAAATAAAAAGGTCTTTGCCGAAAAACAAATAACGACGGCGCCAGGCAGACCTCTCTGGGGAGCGCATTCCATAACTTAGGCGCCACCACTGAGAAAGCCCTCCTCCGAGTAACCACCCTCCTAATTTCCTTCACTGAGGGCTCCTGGAGGAGGGCCTCTCCCGCTGATCTCAGGGGGCGGCTGGGCATATATGGACGTAAGTGCTCCTTCAGGTAACCAGGACCCAAGCCATTTAGGGCTTTATAGGTCATCACCAACACCTTGAATTGGGCCCGGACTTCAATGGGGAGCCAGTGAAGCTGACGGAGAACTGGAATCATGTGAACATAACTTCCAGTCCCCGTCAGCAGCCTGGCAGCTCTACTTTGAACCAGTTGAAGTATCCGGACCGTCTTCAAGGGTAGCCCCACGTAGAGTGCGTTACAGAAGTCAAGATGGGAAGTCACCAGTGCATGAGTCACCGTTGCGAGGCAGTCACACTCCAGATAGGGGTGCAGCTGATGAATCAGCCGAAGCTGGAGGAAAGCGCTCCTCGCCGCTGCTGTTACCTGAGCTTCAAGTGAAAGCTCCGGGTCAAGGAGCACTCCCAAGCTGCAAACCTTATCCCTAGGAGGGAGTGCAACCCCATTCAGGACAAGGTTCAATTCACCTTCTCCAAAGCCTGAACCGCCTACCAATAGGACCTCCGTCTTGTCTGGATTGAGCTTCAGTTTATTGGCCCTCATCCAGCCCATTACCTCAGCCAGGCACCGGTTCAGTACAGCCACTGCCTCACCTGGATTGGTGGAAAACGAGAGGTAGAGCTGGGTATCATCAGCGTACTGATGATTCCGCAGCCCACACCTCCTGATGACCTCTCCCAGCGGTTTCATGTAGATGTTGAACAGCAAGGGGGACAAAATGGACTCCTGCGGTACTCCATGGCATAGCTGCCATGGTGCAGAACCATAGTCCCCCAGCACCTCCTTCTGGAATTGGCCATTGAGATAGGAGCGGAACCACTGCAAAGAGTTGTTGTTGTTGTGGGGATAAGATGGAGAAGAATGATGTAAGCTGCCTTGAGCCCTTTGTAGGAAAAAGGCAGGATATAAATGGCAATATAAAATAAATATAAAGTACACCAGTTAGGAAAGCCTCTACAGGGCCAATGATAACTGTTAATCCACCAATTGGTAGAGTTATCATTATTAATAATAATTTAATTTCTATACTGCCCAATAGCCAATCCTCTCTGGGTGGTGAACAACAATATTAATATCATAAAATACCATATAGACAAGAAAGCACAATACAATTACCTAAAATTGAAACCATATTTGAAACCATTTTTTTACAGTTAAACAGCTAAAACTGGAGCATACTGCAAGGCATACAGGAAAATAGCCATCAGTATATATCTCCTACCCACATGTGTTAACTGGAATTAGTAAATGCCTCAGCAAAAGGATATTCTCAACTTGGTGCTGAAAAGTTAATAGTGTTGGTGCCAGGCAGGCCTTGGTGAGGAGTTTGTTCCATAATTTGGTGGCCACCACAGAAAAGACCCTCTTCCTTGTTGCCACCAGTTGAGTCTCCCTTGGAGGTGGCATTTGGAGTAAGGCATAAGATTTTGAGCATAGTGTCTGGGTACATAGTGGTTGGAAGAGATGCTCCGTCAAGTACAGTAGTCCCAAGCTTGGATGGCTTTACATGTTCAAATAGCACCTTTAATTGACCTTGGAAACATATAGGCACATTTTGCACAAGCTTCAGCTTCCCGACTGTGTTCAAGGGCAGCCCCAGATAAAATGCATTTCAGTAATGAAGCTTACAGGTTTATTATTTATTTATTTATTTATTTATTAAAACATTTTTATGCTTGAGCACCCTCCTTTTGGTCAGGGGATCCACCTACTAACAGCATATCAGTTTTGTCTGGATTAAGCTTCAGTTTGTTAGCCCTCATCCAGTCCATTATTGCAGCCAGGCACTGGTTTAATCACAGCCCAGCTTACTGAAGGTGTTCTTCATGGTTAGGCATGATTAGGAAGAATAGACTGCTGCTGACTGACTGTTATTAGAAGCCTACATCTAGATCTGCAGAAGACTGCATTGATAGATTAGGAACGAAGTTATTATCGAGACATGTTCAAGCACCATAGAAAGCTCCAAGAACAGGACCATGGAAAGCTCCAAGTGAGCAACATGGTCCAACAAAGCATGAAGATGAACTGAGGGCTTATCTTCCCCTCCTAAGCTCCACACTAATGCTTGAACAGTGTGAATGATGAAAGTCCTCACACAGGGCCCAAAGGTAAGCATCTCTCTTCCTTTCTGTGGCCTTCTCCCTGGCAAACTTGCAGGACCACTGAACAAGCATGGTAGAACAGGAGGCAGTCAATTCTTTAGGCAAATCACTTGGATGGAAAGTGTCTTGGAACTCACAACACACTTCTGACCACTTGGTTCAAGTTCAGCATCAGGAACCCCATCAAGTTCTTCTGCGAGTAATGAAACAGCCCCAGTTTTAGCCAACTCAGTCCCTTCAGTGCTGAATGGTCCTCCTCAGGACCATGACACTTGTATAACCATGGTTCAGACAGCACAATATTGCTTCTCAGTCTACAGTAGCTCCAAAATATTGGCTCAGGTACTAACTAGGCCCCTGAGAACAGAAGAGCTGCTGCTGGCAGAATGCGGAAGGCATTCTTTTCCGATTTCTCATCCCACACTCTTCCAGAAGAACTTCAATCCTCTAGAAGAGATTTTGGTGGGATCTGGCAGAAGAAAGCCTCCATGGGAGCATCCCTTGAGTAGAATTCCATTCAAAGACTCTCATTATAATGGGAGCAAACTTGAGATCCCAGCCACTATATCTTATCCAAACCTGAAAAATATTCTTTTAAACATGTCTTGCAAAATTACCACAATATTAATATTAGTGTTGTAAGCTGCCCCGAGGTTTCGGCAAATGGGGCGGCATAAAAATGTTTTAATAAATTAAAAAAATTAATTAATTAATGAAAGCCTGGATTTTTCAGAGTCATTTTGATTGAGCCCGTCTTCAAAGTCCTTATAACAAAACATGAAACATGAAGTTAACAAGCAAGTACAAACTGGTTCTTACTGCAAAAGCTCTGCTCTAAGCTGGTACTATTCAGACCAGATATTTAGACAAAGGTATAGTTTGGCTCCTTTTTAAGATTTGCCTATATATATATATATATTGTGTGTGTGAGTGATCTGTCTTTGCTCTGCAGTTTTATCATGTTTTTGTTTATTGTAAGAACATGCAAACTTTTTGTGGTGTTCAAAGGTGGACTTATAAAAAGAAACATCTAAGTAAATAATGTGACAAGAATACTATTATATTAGTTTTCATATTGTTCACCAGTTAACCATCTCTCTCATTCTCTCTCTCCTTTAATTATGAAGGTTTTCATCTCTACCACAAGCTGCCCCACATTGTGCCAGAGAGCTGCCTCCTTATTCTTGTCGGATTGATTCTAGGTGGAATTATGTTTGGAGTACAAGAAAAGTCTCCCCCTGTGATGAAGAGCGACGTATTTTTCTTGTACCTTCTCCCCCCAATTGTCCTCGACGCTGGTTATTTTATGCCAACACGTCTCTTCTTTGAGAACTTTGGTACAATTTTCTGGTATGCTGTGGTGGGCACTCTCTGGAATTCGTTTGGTATTGGCATTTCCCTCTTTGCCATCTGCCAGATCGAAATTTTTGGCCTGAGTGATATCACTCTGCTGCAGAGCCTGCTCTTTGGCAGCTTGATTTCAGCAGTGGATCCTGTGGCAGTCCTGGCTGTTTTTGAAAATATCCATGTCAATGAGCAGCTGTACATCCTAGTTTTTGGGGAGTCTCTACTGAATGATGCCGTGACAGTGGTAAGCTATGTACACAAAGCGAGAACAATCATGCAACTTTTTGTTCTCCAGAGTTAATTCATTTTCAACAATGAAAAGGAATTGAAAATGAAAGCACAAATTTTACTGTATTTTAGGAGGGAAAAAAACATAATTAGAGCAGAAAGGCTTTTAATACATGCTAATGGTTTCAGAATGGGATCTCTTCGATGATTTCTGCCCTTTACAAATGTTTGGTCACTTTCTTTCAGGAAGCAGAAGTGTCAGAGTGAAAGTAGAAGGCTCCTTAGCACTGACTAATCAATAGGATAAATTTGAGAAATCTGCATGTTCATGTGCATGCTGCAGGCGGACATTTCAGTTAGCACAATGTTGCTGTGGACATCTCCCTGCTTTAGGTGGACTGGAATTATCAGCTTATTTTATGTACCTCAGTGTACAACCCTTAGATGTGAGCAGAGTCTAATCATTAACTTGATTATTTTTAAAACCATAGACCTCATTTAACAGTATCCTGAGCTAGCTGTTTCCATTGGTGTAAATCATCACATCAAGGATTTTATTAGACTTTGCCCTTACCTATGGAAAACTTTTGTTGTGTTCACTTCCTGTTATAACTGTTGCAATTACCATGTTATGAATATCCAAATCCCCCCCCCACACAAGCAAACACACATACATATATGCACAAAGAAACAATTCTAGGAACATTTTTATCTACAATATTCATCAAGGCCTTCCATCTTCCAAAGAAATATAGAAATTATTGCCTTTTAATTTTATACAGATTCTGTGATACTCTTCTTGGACAATGGAAGCTACAAAATAAGAGACATTACAAGGAGAAGTTAATTTGCACAAGATTGGTCCTTAAAATTAAAACATTGTTACTGTTTGTAAAATATATTATTCATTTTATTTCATTTCTATACTACCAGGTCACAGTGTATAAATCAAATAAATGTATAAATCAAATCCCGGAGGTCAAGCAATTTTCTCCCAGTGCTACCTTCTGGAGCTGGCCCTCCAAGTCAGGGCAGAACCACTGTGATGCAGTGCCTGTCATGCATTAGAATGTATGTTCATATTTTTGTGTGCAGATTAAATAAACAAAATACGGATTAAATACAGATTAAAAATAGGAATTTTGGAGAGGAAACCATTTGCAGCCCAGATACTGTAGTGGAATTTAGACAAACCTCCTCACAAATGGATGGTCTGAGCATCCACATGGGTCTGTCTTTCCCCACTGCTGTTGCATTTACCAATCATGTTCCCTGACACACCCAATATTTTGCAACCATATCTAGGAACTGAGAGGAATACTGACATACCATGTAGAGCGTCCCCACACTGGGTGGAATTGCTAAGCCTCTGAGCAGCTGCTGGGAGTTTAATTTTGGTCCTGATTGTTCTGCGGAAGGAAGAGACATATGATTGCTCTCATGTGCTGAGTTCTTCATGTGTTAGTTAGGATACATTCCCTCCATATCTTCATAGTGAGGGTATACAAGATACATCACTGAATACTGCATATTGAATAGCTATTGCATAATATCCTTAGCCTTCCATCCACAGCAGAAGTTTCATGTGATTGTTAATTGGCTCACAACTGAACTCTGTGAACTTAAAAGTCTAAGAGATTTTTCCATGCCATTTTCAGAGCAGGCACAGAATACATTTCTATCCAGGAATCTGATGAAGTTTCAGTAAACAACTGTGGCCTTTCTTACTCTGACAACTCAGGCAATAAAATGAAAAATGAAATCTCTTATTTTTCCCATTTCATCCAATCCACTGGAATAAAAATATAGGCACCACTATTGTGAGATACAAGTGGGGAAATCATTTGAATGATGCTTTCTCCTAGCGCATTTGTCATGTTTTAGTTGTACCTTTCTTTTTTTTATTTCAAACTGCGAGTCTGAATGTTTGTTTTACTAAAGGAATGGCTGGGTGGGAGATCAACACAGCTGGAGTTATAGACACTGATTATGATGCTATAATTATAGATTGGAAATTACTTGACGAAGAACATGCTATTTGATGGCTTGGTAGAATGATAAATGTATATAAGTGTTTCTAAAAGTGCTGCTGATAGAGGAAGTATATAAGAATTGTGATGAGTAGGTAAAAATGGAAAGGTCCAGAATAAATCCTAAATATTTTCTGTGGATAATGTATCTGATCTAAAAACATACTTGCAGATTTTACCATCCAAGCTCTGGAGATTTATGAAATATTTATAAAATGTGCTATTATTATATTAAGACTATCAGATCAGAAGCTTTGCTAAACCAGAGCAAAGGTTCATTTAATCCAGCATTTTGTTTCCTGCAGTGACCAGATGCTTCTGAGAATCACAGCATCACAGATCAAGGGCAGTTTGCCTCCCCTGCTGTTTACCTGCTAGCAATCGGTGTTTAGAAGCACAAACTTAAACACGAACTTAAGGTTCTATTTAGCTATTATGACCAACAGGTGTCAAGAGACCTATCCTCTATATGAATTATCACTTTTAAAAGCCATATGAACTTGGAGCCATCTCCCTTCCAACAACAAATTATATGCACTGATAATGCATACTTTTAAATATATATCTAAATGAATACATAGAATCATGCATTAGAAATGTGTAACTTGAATGCTTTCAATGAGATATTTGGTATTTGTTCTCTCACGGTTGGTTGGTTTAGGTGATTTTTTTATAGTTCCCTACTAATGTTTTATTAGTTCCTGTGTTTGTATTGTTATTGTTATTTGTAATTTAATATTAGTTGTATTTTTTCTAAATTTGAAAGTTGCAAACTTATTATTTATTTACTTATTGGGAAATGGTGGGAGGGCGTCATTTTGGTTGCCCTTTTCTGAACGTGGTCTAGCCAGAAGATACTCTCAAAGAAACCTCCACACTTATCTTTAAACATCACAGAATTCAAAAACAATTTGAGGGGTTTGAAATGTTTAAAGGTGGCTACTGATGGTGGTATATTGCTCTGGGATTTTCTTTTGTGCTTTCTTTATCTGGTTTTTCAGATAAAGGTTTTTGTGCTGGGCCAGGTCAGTTGGAATGGTCCCAGATTAATCAACTATAGTGTTATATTGGTGCTTGTATTATGGGTATTTTAAACCAGAGTTTCCAACTATATCTGAAAAAGGACTGTGATTTAATCTTAGACTCAAAACTACAATACTAAACTAACATTTGATATATATATATATATATATATATATATATATATAGAGAGAGAGAGAGAGAGAGAGAGAGAGAGAGAGAGAGTCATTTTCTTCCTTTCAGTGGAGTCTGAACAGGATGACTGTGCCCCTTGCAGGATATTGGAAAAGCCCTCTATTTGCTCAGCAGAATGAAGTCATCATGCTTTTGTTGTAGCACTTTAGGTAGTATGGGGAAAGTCATACCTGAACCTTCCTGCACATATATTTTGCTTACATAGGATTCTTATGTCAGGTAGAAAGGTTCAGCTTTGCTTTCTTCATGATGTGTTATTTTTGCATATACTCTTTCTCTTTTGAACAAGGGGACATTCAAATATGGAGCTCTTCACCTGAAAACTAAGGTGGAACTGTCCAGGAAAAGCATGGCTGATTCATTCTGCTGAATATAAACTCTGCTAATGCTTAGTTTAGATGGCTGACATTTGATAGGAAGAAGGAATGCCTTGGGAACGGAACAAGGAAGTGAGCAGGCTGTTTTAATATGAGCCGAGACACTCTGCTTAAAGTTCAGTTTCTGTCTCCTGTACAGTTGATTTTATTCCCGTGCTATGGTGCTTCAAAGCAAGGGCAGTTTGGGGGCTTAAGTGCTGTGCCTGTTCTTTCAATTTTGAAACGTCCCTTCAAATTAAGTATATTAAGTTAATGAATTCTGTGACTGCAGCCTACCCAGTCTTTTTGTTTTTGCTCTGTTCATATTTGCAATCAGTACAATGGTTGTCACTTTTTAAAGCAACTTTTTTGTTTGCATGTAATGTTAAACTATTGTTTAACAGTATGGGAATTATGTAATTCTGCTTCTCTTCTCCTTCCTTCTCCCCTCCAGAGGAAGTATTTATGCCATTCTGAACTAGCTACGCATTAGCTGCACCAAACAAACTGCAGTTGGCTTGTTTGAACAAGTCATCTTAAAATCCTGGTAAATTACCCTGACTTGTTTGGGTAAACTTTAGTTAATACTAACAATATTTCCTAGTTTGGACCCACAACTGACCGTGGTTAGTTTGAAACAGAAGGAAATGCTTTCCCAGAAGGGAAGAGTGGAGTGGAGAAGCACACTTTCCTAAAGGTCATTTATGTAATACCAAGCTATAGTTTAGGATTATACACAAATCAGGCCAATGTGAAACTCTTTCCACTGTGATTCTATTCATTTCACCATCTCATTACAAACTGAGAAAACAGAAAAATAGGAGTAGCGTGATGAAAATCTTTAGTACTTCGAAGTTTTAGGACTTGCATGTTAAGGCTGCAATACTCTATACATTTACCTGGAAGTAAATGCAGCTTACTTCTGAGTACACAAGTGGTATAGTGCTTTTTAATTTTTGAGCCAGCAGGTAAAAAACTTTAGATGTCCATTTGAGTTACTTCAGTTGTGAAGCACAGAACTAAGAATTCTCCCTGCAACCCCAAACAATTTTATTTATCTATCATTACATTAATATCCCACCATTTTTGTTTCAAGGAATTATTATTATTATTATTATTATTATTATTATTATTATTAGAACATTTCTATGCCACCCCTTGCCGAAGCCTCAGGGCGGCTTACAACACAATAAAATACAATACAATACAAAAATAACAATATAAAATTAAAATTAATAATATAAAATAAATAATACACACACACACACACACACGATATAAAAGAAGTTAAAAGAAAAGAAAAGAAAAGAAAAGAAAAGAAAAGAAAAGAAGTCGCCCTGGCCATGTTATCCTCACAAGAACTCTGTGATTTAGGTTAGGCTGAGAGTCAATGTCTACTCAAAGTCACCCAAAGTCACCTTGAGACTTTTAGCAGAGTGGAGACTAGAACCCAATTCAGTCTCAAGTCCTTGACTGACCCTCTACACCTCACTGGCTTTACATCTGCTTCTACATTCCTGAACAGCAGCAGCAAATCTATTCCTGATTAAAGAAAGAAGAAAACAAAACTTGGGCATGAGCAGTTTTGCATTTTAGTCTCACTTAAATCATAAAACAATCATAATTATAGGAATAGAATGGGATCCACTTCTACTGCTCTGCTGTTTTCATTGCTTGACGCTCTCTGAGTGGTAATTTGAGGTGGAGAAGGATGGGCTGCCTGGGCTGGATCCAGGCCTAATTACACCACTGAATGGGCATGCATAAGACTTCACATTTAGGCAGATTCACTGTAGTGGGGCATATTGAAATGCATGCCCTTCATAGAAATGAGAATGAATTACAAATAACATTGGCTCATTCACATTCTATGATCATGTATTTTCTGTTTTGGAAAGTATTATAGCATTTTTCTTATTTATGCAATTGTTTCCGATTATATAATAGCGTATCATATAATTTATATATCTGGCTAAAGTAATGCTGAGATTATCTGATTTTAACAAGTGAAACCTTTCCCCTCCTAGGTCCTGTACAACTTGTTCAAGTCCTTCTGCCAGATGCCTACAATTGAAGTCATTGACATATTTGCTGGAATTGCTAATTTCTTCGTAGTTGGCATTGGTGGAGTTTTGATTGGAATCATTCTGGGATTTGTGGCAGCTTTTACTACTCGCTACACCCATAAAATCAGAGTGATCGAACCACTATTTGTCTTCTTATACAGCTACCTATCATACATAACAGCTGAAATGTTTCACCTCTCTGGTATTATGGCGTAAGTATCCATAAAAATGTAATGTTGCTAAAAATACCATGAAATACCATTATGGATGTCGACTTCTGCTTTACTTTAAGCTGAATAGGATCTTTTGTGTGAATTGTGGTTATTCACTGATGTCACTATTCCATTTAGTAGTCTTAGTATACACCGCAGTGACATTCTAAAGGTGTGATGTGTGCTTTTTCCCAGATTAGCTTATTAATTTCTATGGATTCACCTGGAAGGAAATGGTTTCAGAACCATCGCCTGAGTTTTTGTCCTCATATTCTGAATTGCTAAAGGACTGTTGTATGTGGAATAGCACAGCATATACAAAAATTTATGCCACTAAATTCACCCCAGTTGCCTTGCTATTTCTTTGGCTACTTCCTCAATCAACCTGCATTTTCATTTGCATCCCCATTTTTAAGAGTGTTCAATAAAATATTTTAATCTCACCAATGGTATTCTGCAGCCTGTCTCAGCCTGGTGCTCTCCAGAAGTCTTGGACTTCAGTCCTCATCAGCCACAGCCTGTATGGCCAGTGCTCAGGAAGCTGGGAATGGTAGTCCAAAACATCTGGGCAAGCCTGATGCAGGGCAGTTATACAATTGCAGCAGTCATACAAATGAAGCAGCATGAATTCTGGCAGCTGGTGATGCGTAGTGGCTAGGCTAGGAATCCTAAGGTTTCAGATTCAAGCTTTGCTACCACCATATTCCTAATGGATGAGATTAATCAATCTGATCCAATCTAACAATGTAAATCAGGCTAAGCCTCAATCTCCCTTCCCCGCCCAGCCTCCAAATCCAAATCATTGGGAGGTTCTTGCTGAAAGACGCTCTTCATCAGGTCAGGATCACAACTTGTTGTATAAAGTGTAGTGGACATTCTAAGTCAGTACACAGTACTGGGGATCCACCAGCACCCATTAGATTGCTCTAGCAGGAATAACTGCTAGTGCAATGGGATTCTAGCACTTCCTACTGCAACTCTGTAAGCTAGATAATAGGTCAGCTCTGCTGACGTATTGCTTTCCAAAAATGCTGGTTTTGCCTAGCTCACAGAGTTGCAGTAGGAAGTGCTATTTTCCAGTTGCACTGTCAGTCATAAGAGCACACCTGTGTGCTTTCCTAAATCTGCTGCATAAATACTGGAAGAGGAAGACAAATATTCCAGAGGAAGCACATGTGCATATGATACAATGGAATAGACTGCTTACTTATGTTACAGCCACTTCTATAGTTTGCATATATTTTTGACCTTTTAGCTTGGCCTTACCTACCTACCTACCTTCTGTCCTTCCTTCCTTCCTTCCTTCCTTCCTTCCTTCCTTCCTTCCTTTCTAGATCTATGTTCCAATCAAATATTTAAAATATCTCTGAAATGTTGGAATATTCTCATTTTAGGAAATTGGAAATCAGCTTTACTTTATGTAACAGAATTAGCAACTTGTAGTGCAAACTCATATACATGTTTAGATGGAAAAAAGTTTTACTATTCCTGGCATTTCTCCAGCCAGTTTTGCTTGGAATTGTAGGACTTTCTTCCATCTAAACAGGACTGACTCACTGGTAATTCAGAGCAATGTTAAAGAGTAGCAGGGTTGATTTCTGAAACTAAGAATAGAATACAAAAGTGGAAAATATATAAAATTTAAATAAGGTTAGATGAGTCTCTTTGTTAGATGCGGATCTAAATAAAGTAACATATTAATCTTGCCCCAGTCCTGAAATGTCCCATCTCTTTTCTTGGCTTCTATTAATAGTGTTTGAGTAGTTTCCAGTTTCCTTCTGTTTCTAAAGCAGATGACAATTTCAACAGTTCTTGCCACTGAGGAAGTGGGCTCTGATTCATGAATGCGTATGTCACAGTGCACCTTAGCCCCAGGACTTTTTGCTGTGCTTGATATAACAGATTACTATGGCTAGCCTTTTAGAACGTTTGATTAGGTACATGATATGAGTTCCCAAGCTATTAATACGGTGTTTGATCATGTTATGATGCAGTCTTTCCCCAGTCATTTCCTGGAATAACTATCTCTTAACAGCAACTAGTCTAAATTGTAAGCATCAAGGTAGCTATTAATCTTTGTGTTCCTTCCTGATAATAACCTGTACCTTGATTAATGATTATCAGTTTTTTGTCACATGACTAATGATGTGCTGTTCCTTATTTGTATAGGACACAATGACAATCTACTTCTCAACAATATGTTCAAAACAGTGTGATAGTTTCATGTTGCTTGGTTTCAGTAGATACAGTTTTGGATGCAGGCTGTTTAAATACAGGTGAAATCAATAGGAATTAAACAGCAAAACAGTGGGAAGACTTATAAGCAAATTTGCTTTTGTTTTTTTTTAAAGATTCTTTCAGAGAATAAGCTGCAATAAAGAGGAAAAGAAGGCAGACACTGTGGGAACATTTTGGAATTTTTTTTCCAGGATGTGGATCCCTTTTGAATCTCCCAGACATAACCATAATCAGGATGGTCCATGAACTGAAGGGTTTTTACCTGAGGCATAATTACAAGCCAATAAGCATTCCATTAGTGATGGCATTAAACTGAAGGCCGTTATTCTGGAACACTGTCATGGCTAGTATGCAATACTGGTTTGGCTGGAATGTTGGTTAACGTGACTCAGTGTCAGTATCAATACTGATATAAACACGTACCCACAGTTAGGTGTTGGTAGGAATTTCAGTGACTTGCTGTAATTTCTTAACTGCAGCTCAGAGTATGCTTACTACAGCAGCGCAGTCTCCGATTTTCCAGACACAGCAACCAATAACCATTAGCCAGATGCTGAGTAGATTGAATAAGTCCAGAGTAGACAATGAGTAGACTGAATAAATTCCAGATCTCTTGACTGAGCCTGTAAAGCTGTTATTTTCTAAATGTATGCTTGCAATTTTTTTTCTTGATGCAAGCAGAACTTTTCATGATTTGCTTTTATTATTAGTTGTTGCTCCTCAGTAGAGTGATTTGGAATTGAGAAACACATTGAAGCTTAGTAGTAGGTCAATGGAACTTGATGATTGCATCCAGTGATCTAGATTTTTCCAGTCACCAGACAGAAACTGTCTTGTTTGTGCAGCATGACTTGCATTGCTGACAAAATGCAGTTTATATTGCCATTAAACCCTTATTTCTTTTCCTGGTTTAAAGATGGTTTAAGATAAGTGAATGTGATTATTCCAGGTGTGTTTCAGTCAAAGCAAACTGAAAACAAAGGTCTTAAGAGAGCCTGACTTTTTGTTGGCAGAGAAACAAAATAAAAATTAGAGCATTAGCATTTTCTTGCACATATGTTATTCAGGCTATAATCTTATATTTGTTTAGCTCCAAAATCCAAGCTGACTAGTTTTCAAGCTATCTTTACAAATGCCTCTCTCCTGTTGCATTGGTTCCTGTCCATGGCTCGTGGGAATGTGATGTCAGAGCATCTGGGACAAAGCATTGAGTAGTGCTGCACCCAAACAGCTGCTCCATGGGGTATCCCTGCCCCACACATACACCCAGGTTGTTACTCAGGAAGTGGCGCCACTTCACAGCATAGCTGGGACCACAGACATACAACCGAGTCATGCAACAGGGCTTTCTTACCTTATTTTTCTGCTGCCCCTTGTGGCCTGCCCACAAAACAACAGAATGGAATGGAACATGATCTGTGTCTGCTGTAACTGCATCATTGGAAGCTGGAGAAACTTCCTCCCCATCATCTCCCATTCAGGCAAATTCGTAGCCTTCAAGAGACTTTCTGTATTATTCCATTTTATGTGTTTAATTTAAGCTAATTTAAGTGAACACCTAAGAAATAACCAGCGTACAGCAAAGACACAAATGAATAACCAATAACAAACCCTGCATTATACAGTTTGTTTATTTATTCATCCGTTCATTTATTTAAAACATTTGTATGCTGACCAATTGTGCCACAGCACTGCTGGGCAACTCACAACACAGTTCCATAGTTTCACAGGAGTGAAGGTGAAACTAAGTTTCCTGATGTCAAACTTCTGAAATGACTGTTTCAGGAATGAATATTGTGGTAGGAAGATATCTGAGAAGTGTAACATCATGGAAAACATCTTTAGAGTTCAGAATTAAAACAGGAGGCATGGTAGGGCCACCCACACAAGCCATCTATTTGCAGTTAATCCTATCTCATGAAATGGCATCTTGTGAAAAGTGAAATCGTTACATGCTGAATCCCACAATGCTGAATAACAAAAAGGGGTGGATTTAATTATAGCAGCCACCTGGCATGCATGGTCCACATGGCAATATGCCACGTCCTTCCAGAACCACAAAGGCAAATGGGTTTTCCTGAAGAATGAGCACCTTCTGTTTTCTGCAAGGAAATAACCACCAAGCTAGGAATTAAGCAATATGTGCATGTCAATTTACTGTGGTTTTTCCACCACTATATCACAAACAGGTTCTAAACTTTCTCCTAGTTTAAATAAAAGTTTGTAATATGGTATGGAATTATCTCTTATTGCAGAGACTTGCTGTTCAAAAGTCATGAAAGAGTTATTTATGGTGTTACATGTCTAATTTAAATTGTGATTCATTTGTATGTAATGAATCGGGTCTACATGATCAAGTACATATAGCTCTTAAGTGGGTGAAGCAGGGACTTCCGTAGCAATTGGGAACTAAGCTTGAGAGATCCTTAGAACTTTTCTGAGTTAACAGTCTGCACATTTGGGAAAAGGGTGAATAAATTTTGATTAAAATGCATAGATGCTACATTACAGGTCTTGTCTTCTTACAGGATTATATCTTGCGCTATGACCATGAATAAATATGTGGAAGAGAATGTTTCTCAGAAGTCCTACACTACAATAAAGTATTTCATGAAGATGCTGAGCAGTGTCAGTGAGACCCTTATCTTTATTTTCATGGGAGTATCCACAGTTGGGAAAAACCATGAGTGGAACTGGGCCTTTGTTTGCTTCACTCTCCTGTTTTGTTTGATTTGGCGTGCACTGGGTAAGAGCCACTTAAAGCATTCTAGATTGTACTTTAACATGCTTTACAACTGAAACATGCTTATCTTTTGTGGAACAAAATCAACAGGAAATCGCAAGGGCAAAGCAAAACCTGCTTAAAGGAAATACATTTTCTTGATGCTGAAGATCTTGGGTCTTTTCAGATGGTTTCTCAGATCTGTAAACTAAATCCTGCCTTGATGTAAGGGATGGAGGAAACTGTTTCGTTGTTGTGGAATAACGTGTGTGTGTGTGTGTGTTGTGTGGGAGGGGGAGGAGGGCCAGTGTGAAGGGTTAGTTTCGATTGGAATGTGTGTGTGTTTGTGTGTGTGTGTGTGGAGGAAACAAGAGCACCTGGAAAAATGTAACATGTAAATAGAGCTTACATATCTGTTTATAATTTGATATAAAACTGAACACAATGTTCGTTCTCATTCATTCATTCATTCATTCATTTAGTGTGACTGTCTCTGTAGCCTTAAATGAAACATTCTAAGGAGTGTGTGTGTGTACATCTCTATTTTCCTTAGGAGTTTTTGCACTGACTCAGATCATTAATGTGTTCCGAACAATTCCTCTGACATTCAAGGACCAATTCATTATCGCCTATGGAGGCCTCCGAGGAGCCATATGCTTCTCTCTTGTTTTCCTGCTTCCTTCTGCTGTGTTCCCTAGAAAGAAACTTTTCATTACTGCTGCCATTGTGGTGATATTCTTTACTGTCTTCATTCAGGTAAGAATATTTCTATTACTTATCTGTGCAGTGGGTCTAACTAGGGGGCTTTTTGCTGTTGAAAACATGTAGGCATCCCAGTTTCTGATATTAAATGTTCAATGTAAAAAGATGCACATGAGTTGGGAATCTTAACATACTAAATGAATTTACTCCTGGAGCCTATAATGCAAAAGATAGTGGCATCTCCTGTCTTCTAATCTTTTATATAGTTATACATTACTCTTCTGATGAAGGTGATTAAAGAGAATATGTCACATAAGCATTCATCTGAAATGATTAGCAACGTTTATTTTATAGCTTCACTAGCCAGGGCCATACAGTGAGGCAGAGAGAGGCCGTTGCTTCAGGTGGCAGATGCTGGGTGCTGACAGCAAGGTGTTGCGGGGATTGATGGGGCCATACCACTTGCTCTGCACCTTCTAAGCTAGGCATAGCTGAAGGAGGACACTGTCCTATCACTACTGTGGACGAAGATTCGCCTGCCAGTCTATTTGGCTTTTGTGTATGGGACGGAAGGGACGCACTCCTGCTTTTTGCCTAAGGCAGCAAAATGTCTTGGGCTTGTCACAAGCAAATTGGTAAATGAATCTAAATAAAGATGTTGTGGATCATCAACAGGATGTATGAGCACTGAAGTGTTTAAACACACTTGTATTGTTGACTGCTAACCAGGTTTGTGTGAAAATGTAGTGGGCCTCAGACAACATAGTTTGCCTTTTCCCTGTTAACATTGGAGATAGAAGCATAGGAAGCAGGTCAGACTGTGTGTCCATGTAATCTAGCATTGCCCACACTGACTGGCAGCAGTTGTCCAGGGTGTCAGGCAGGGGCTTTTCATGTCATCTACTAGCTGTCCTTCTAAGTGGAGATGCCAGGGATCTCCTTTTCTCCCCAGCCTGGCAGCCACATGCATTTGGCTGAGCAGAAGAATGAAGAAAAGTCGAATTGGTACAGTTGTAAAGCAGTGGGGTGGACTGTACTGTAGCTGAGTGCAGTCACATATGCAAAATATTCAGTACAAGTATAACTCTAGACCAAGGAAAAACAAGATGGGCTAGAACTTTTCATTCCAATGTGCTGTGTCTGTGAGTGTGTAATGAAAAACATTAAAATGGCATTTGCTACTTCAAGGCTAGATAGTGCAGGCCATTCTATTTCAGGGTTCCACTAATTTGTTCCGCTGCAAGCATAGACCAGACATATTGACATTGCAATAACAAATTCAGCATATCCAAGACTGAAATATTTATGTGCCCTTCCAGAGCTGCCTTCTCTTAGGCCACTCTCCATATCTATTGTCAATATTCACCATCTGCCCCCCTGACTGGCCATGCAACCTTGAGTGTATCATTTATTTCTCCACTGCTATTCCAGTTTGCAACATAACAAAAACCCATCCATTGTCTCTCTGCTAAAGTTCTAGTTCATAATGCACTTTGCCTTTATGACTTCAGGTTTTTCCATGACCTTTCTCATTACACATCTTGTCTCTTTCCTGCCATACTAATTCTCTTTTCTCTACCACTCCGTGCAGTGGGCTGATTTGCGCAATATCAGTCTGGTTAAGATCCCATAGTGGCTTGCAAACTCCATCATACATACTGGTTGTCCAGATTTCTTGCTGGTGTAGTTTAATGTGCTATCCAAACCTGGGCACCATTGCTTGTTTGATGAGAACAACCCTTGGATAACCTAACAACAGTCCATGGGTTATTTGACCACGTTGTAATTGTGTGAACTGGCTCAATGCAAAACCCTTCCTCAAATCCCATCTGCATTTAGATGCAACACAAGCTTCTTCCCCTTCCTTTTACATATCTCCCCTGCCTTATGCCATCTGTGAAACATTCGTGACTAACTTCAGTGGGTCTTGGTGGGTCTGCTCTAAGCATCACTGCATCTGGATCTGACCCAATTACTTGTCCAATAGAAAATGGAAATGATACCTTGGAAACAAACTTGAAAATAAGGCTATTTTCATGCTTCTGTGTTTTCTGTACAGGGAATCACAATTCGTCCACTAGTGGAATTTCTTGATGTTAAAAGATCAAATAAAAAACAACCCGCAGTCAGTGAGGAGATTTATTGCCGGGTATGTTTGCAGTTCTGAATGCACAGTGTATCATTGATACGCACTGGAAATTTCTTTTAATGTCTGCACATTTCTTCAGTAGGAAATAATTACATGTTTACATGGCTTTGTGTTACGTAAGTGGTGTACTTGTTACATAAATGTATTGTTCATTATAAGAATGTTTGCTTCACATAAGCACATCCGAATATCTTTTCACATTGTAAGTTTTTAGTTCTAGTCTAATGTCTCTTCACTATTTTTAAAATCTATTTATTCACAAAAATTATAAACCAAAGTATTTAGCATTTTAGGGCCGTGCCTTTACAAAGTGATTTACACAAAGATGCAAAAGATAGATCGGAGTCACTGAAAAGCTGCTTTGAATCATACAAACTAATCTATAGTTTTAATTAAAAGCAGCAGCGAAGAGAAAATCTTCAAGAGCTTTATCATAAGGGAAAATATAAATCAATTGAAAGTAAGTTCCATAGCTGAAGGACCACCACCAAGAAGCTAATTTCTGCATTTCCTATGAACCATAGGAAAGGAATATACTAGTGAAATGTTCCTTCAGATAACATGGTCCCAAGCCACTTAGGAGTCTAAAGGGTAACAACAATCACTTTGAATTGTGCCCTGAATGTACCAGTGTAATTGGTGTGACATCAGTGTTATATGCTCAGCTTTTGGCCTCAATCAGCATCAAGCATTTTGTACCTGCTGCAGCTACCAGGATGTTTCACAGGCAGCCCCACATAAAGTGCAGTGCAATAGTCCAATTTAGAGATAACCAATGAATGAGTAGCAGAGGCTTTTGTCTATACCTATATTAGTTCAGAGGGGACTGAGTCCAGAAAGACAGGTTGTACAGTGGTTTTTTCAAGGAGAGAACAACCTATGCAAGGACCAGTTTCATATCAGCCCAGATTAAAATTAACTATTTCATTCAAATATATTCTGCAATAGGTCTCAATGAGGCCTTTGTTAGGACTGCATGTAGCAATAAACTAATGGACAAGCACAAGTTATTAATCTGTTTCTACATTTTAGTTCTTTGATCATGTGAAGGCTGGCATTGAAGATGTGTGTGGACACTGGGGTCACAACTTTTGGAAAGATAAGTAAGTAGGTTATTTAAAGCCTGTGGAAAAACTGAGAGAGAAGTTCAGCTGGATTCCTTATTTACAGCCCAACACTTGCTAATTCTATAAAATAATGTAGTTTGAGTAATATAGTTAAACACATTATGTCTTACTTCTGAATAGACATGCATGTGATCACACTGTTCTAAGTTCTCCATCTCACCTTGGGCTTGTCTTGTCTTCCCCCTGTCTCATCAAACTTGACTTTATTTAGGATCAAAATTTTAAAGATTCTTTAAAATTGCTTGCTAATAATTGCATTAAAATCTGTTGAGTTTTCCATTCAACCATTCCATGAAGCCTTTCCAGATGACATGTGTTTACAACACAAAATAATCATCAACATTGCTTTTATTTCTCAAAGGTTTGTCAAATTTGACAAGAAGTATTTGCGGAGACTTCTAATCAGGGAAAGCCAGCCTAAATCAAGTATAGTTTCCCTATACAAGAAGCTTGAAATAAAGCATGCCATCGAGTTGGCAGAGAGTGGAATGATAAGCACAGTACCGTCTCTATCTTCTATCAGGTAAGTAGAAGGGATGTGAAGCATTGTCATTGCCAGTCTGTATCTTAGTGGGACTATAAATTCCCATACAGGTAGAGAATTAGCTTTGAAAACTGCAGTGCTGCACAGGTAGACAAAATAATAGGCAAAAGTGCATGTGCAGTATTTTAGAATTTATTCAGATCTCGATGTACTTCTATTGATATTTTGATAATACCAATGTTTATTTAATGGATTGATACATTTACAGTTACATTTAATGTTTTGAATGCTGTGTTGAAAGGGAGAATCTCAATGAAAAGATTTAATTAGCCAACAGCCCTATCAACAATTAATATGAACCAGATTCTTGGATGTTATATTTGAAAGAATCTATGCCTTATCAGTGTTCAGGAAAATAGAGGCTGTCACTTGGAATCTAGCTACTTACTTATTTTTTGAGGAATTTGAATAGTTATAGTCAGAAAGAGGATTTCAAAAATAGAAAGTTATAAAATCATGCGTATGTTTTTCATTCTGCAACAATACTGTTTTATTTCTGAGAGGAAATGCAATTCATATCATTGCATGTTATTACATATTTAGTTCTGAATTTTATTTTACCTTGCAACAGTGAACATCAAGAAGAAGAAAAAATAAGTCCCTTTTATCCTGCCCAGATGGATAATATAAGAGATATTTTAACAAAGAATCTCTATCAAATACGACAGAGAGTAAGTAGCAAACAGTATTAATGGAACACCCTGTTGTGAATGTATCTACTTTCTCAGCTGGTGATGCTTTTTCTCTCCTATTAAAAGCACTAGGAAACCATCCTAAGCAAGGTTACTTGGAAGTAATTTCCATTAAAATCAGTGGGACTTGCCTCCAAGCAAATGTATTTAGGATTAGTGTATAAGAAAGCTGATGAATAAACATGGTGCAGGCAAAGAAATATGACAAGCTGTACTTCAGTCTTTGCAAAAACATTCAAGAGCAATTTTTAGCTACCTATTGTAGCTTCCTCTATTCTAATACCCTCCAGTTGTTTAGGACCATCTGGCACAGTTGCTGACCATTGGCCATGCTGAGAGGGACAGATTTGCACCATATACCTAAGGGGCAGAGTGGTTTAAAATAGTTCTTTACTCCATTTATTCTTAACAGCATTGGGTAAGGCAGGGGTCCTCAAAGTTTTTCAATTGGGTGCCAGTTGAAAGGCGGTGGCGGGCCTGGCACAGCGAGGTGAGGCGGTGCTGGCGGCAGGCGTGGACGCGGTGAGGTGGCAGCAACGGCAGCGGGTGCGGGCCCAGCCGCCCCGGGCCTGACCGCCCCTGGGCTCGCATAATTAAAAATAGATTTCAAAAGTTATATTGTTGTTACCTTCAATCCTTTGTTTGTCTTCATCTTCGTCTCTCTTTCTCTTCCACCCACCTCATTTCTGTTTCCCGCTCCATATTCCCACTCTGTATATGCGTGCAATGGGAGGGTGGGGGGGGGAGGGAGAGAGAGACGGCACACGTGCAGTTCAGCTATGGAAATTTGGACATGTGTCGGCTCTCTCTCTGCTCAGTTTTAAAGAACACCTGTGCCGGCTCAGAGCTTTTGGACTCACTCGGAGATCATTTTCTCTGAGCAAGTCCAAAACCTCTGAGGTGGGCCAGATAAATAGGCATGGTGGGCCAGATCTGGCCCACGGGCAGTAGTTTGAGGACCCATGCTGTAAGGGATGGACAACTTATATTGTCCACAAATAACTTGTACAGGTATTTTGGCCTACCCATCAGCCCTAGTCAGAGCAGAAATGATGAGAGATGATGCGGGTTACAAGCCAAAACATCTGGGAAGCCATAAGTTGCCCACTTCTGTTAATCTTTTGATCTGAGCTGAAATGAGAAGTTCTGTTCAGGGTTTCTTGTGCTGAAATCCAGTCCTCATCAGTATATCCCATTGCATTTTCCTGTGATTAAATAATGTTTCAATGGATAATTTCCGAGTTCGTGTCCCTGTATCTACGAAATCTTGACTGTTAATAACGTACATAGCCAAGGCCAACAGCAGTATCCTGGTGACTGGCATAGTGCTGCAATGGCTCCTATACCTGCCCACTGCCACAGCTGCCCAACGAAGCCACTCACCTGCTGCCAAGGCCTTCCACCAAACACCTGTCCCTGGAACGTCCTTCCCAAGCCAGCTCCCATCTGCCAAAGCCCACTGCTCTCTTCTAGACCAACAAGATGCTGACTTTGGATGGAGAATGGCCAATGAGGGCATAAGAATGGCCAAGGGGAAGCCTGCATGCTGCTTCCGTATCTTCCACTTTTCAGTCGCTATTCTTGTCAAAGCCAGTGCCTGATTAATTGAAATTGCTGATACTCAAACATGAGGTTAAAAAAAACTATATTCTTATCATATGTATAAGTAAATTATGAAATCAAAGAGTTGTCTGAAATAACAAATGACTGACTATGCATTAAGTTCCCCTCATCTTGTACACCTAGTTTAAACTATCTGCAAGTCTGAGTTGTGTTTGTGAAATGTTTTAAAGCACTGAACTATGGATGTGTCTTGTGCTTCTGTGCCACCCATTACATTAATATAGCTCTACAAGTATAAATGTGGGTTGCTGCTGTTTGTTTCAGGCTCCATCGTATAACAGATACAGTCTAGCTGAAGATGCAAATGAAAAGCAGGCCAAGGAAATTTTGATTCGTCGCCGACACAGCCTGAGGGAGAGCATCAGGAAGAGCAACAGCTTGTCAAGAACGGTACTTGCATTTTATGAAATATTCCCCTATGAAATTGACTAAATAGCGTATTATACTGAGTCACTGGAACAACGTAGTGAGACTTCTAAGAGCATCTCAGAAAGCAGATACCATTTCAGTAGGTATGGTTTCTTTTTCATGACTCCAGGCACTCAGAAATTAAAGTTAAGTTGTATTTGTCAAATATACTGATCACCCACATATAGCATGAGAGCCTGTAGAAGATCAATATTTTAATTTCTTTTGCAAGAGAACAAATTCTTATAAAATATTTCAGCATGTCTTACAGGTCAAGCCAATATATGTTTATTATGTTTTTAAAAAATCAAAAGGTTTTACAGCAATGCAATTACATCCTACAGCACATAAAACCAAATCTTGTGGCTTATATAAACTATGTAAATGTATGAAGTTTCTTTCATTTGTCTAATTCTGCTACACTTAACATTTCTACATAAGGATTTGCCTCTACCAGCTATGACTACTTAAAAAAAATCTTTAGCAGTTCTGGTATTTTGAGTTTTTTAACAAGCCTTGTCTTTCTTTATAATGTAAGAATTAATTGATAATAGGTCTGGAGAGAATGGAAATTGGAAAATATATTTGGGAATAAAGTATGAGAAGAAAATGCAAGTTAGGATAGCTGCAGAGGAAATGGATAGAAAGGTTATGAGTATGAACTGAGGAGGAAGTTGTGTGCCACAAATATGTTTGGCAATTTTGACAGGTGGGAATTGTAACATAAAAAAGAAAATTTTACAAAGTGAGTTTTTAGCTGCTGCAAGTGCAGAAGAAAGATCCAGGGAAATAATATTGTTCAGAAAATGTCAGAAAGGTATGCAAAGAAATTTCCGGTCATGTGATGGAAACAAAAAGATATGAAGCAGTTTGATCAAAGGGAAAAGGAGACCTAAGGTAACAAAGACCTAGATCCTCTGGATTGTTCCTTGATGCTCTTGTGTTCCTGGCTACAGTATATATACTAAAATTACTTAATATAAATAATCTCTCTCTCACAAATCTACGAGTGATTTTTCCTACTGTTTTCTGCTTTAGTACAGATAGCAGAATACAAAACATTTGGTTGCCATCTCAGTTGTGAGAAGCACATGTGCATATATTGCTACTTTCCCTTCCAAAAGGTATAGCAGATCCTTCCTCGGTTGTAGCTCCAACTTACTTTAGACCAGTGGTGGCAAACCAATGGCACACGTGCCCCAGTGGGCATGCAGAACCCTCTCTATTGGCATATGAGCCAAGTCACACCAGCATTGCCCCAGCACCGAGCATCGGATAACAGTGTACATAGGGGCAATGTGCATGCTCGGAAAGGAGTAGGATTAGAAAACCGAGTTGTCCTGGCATGATTTTGATGGTTGGAAGGTGTTTAGAATGGGCAGAAATGATGAGCTGTGCAGAAAAAGCTACTCAAGGAAGACTTTTTTAAAATCGTCCTGTTTTCTGTGGAACTTTAGTCCTGTATTAGGGTAACGGTTGTGTACCAGGGTAGGGTTAGGGTTAGAAAAACAAGGTGTCCTGGCATGGTTTTGATGTTTGGAATTTGTTTAGAATGGGCAGACATGTTGAGCAATGCCGAAAAAGCTACTCATGGAAGGCTTTTTCAAAATCATCCTATTTTCAATGGAACTTTCGCCCTATCTTAGGGTCAGGGGTGTGCACCAGGGTAGGGTTAGAGTTAGGAAAACGTGGTGTCCTGGCATGGTTTTTATGGTTGGAATGTGTTTAGAATGGGCAGAAATGATGAGCTGTGCAGAAAAAGCTATTCAAGGAAGGCTTTTTCAACATCGTCCCTTTCAATGATATTTTACCTCTATGTTAGGGTTAGGGGAGTGCACCAGGGTAGGGTCAGACCAGTGGTGGAGGACCCATGGGCACACAGAGGCCTCTCTGTTGACATGCAAGCCAAGTCGCCCCAGCAGCTGAGCATCGGATAGCAGTGCACATAGGGGCCATCCGCATGCTCGGAAAGGAGTAGCTTTGCCAGGCCATGCTGTCACAAGCCGTGACTCATTAGCTACAACTCATCCAAGCTTTCGTATGGCCGGTCAGTGCACTACCAAGGATATATATATATATGTATATATATATGTATATATTTGCTTGGACTCGCTGTGAGTTGTTTTTTCTAAACTAAAACCTCAGTTTGCAGGTTTTATTGTAGTGCTGGCATAAATAAGTGGGTTTTGGGTTGCAGTTTGGGCTCTTGGGCTCTAAAAGGTTCACCATCACTGCTTTAGACCATGGGATAGTCTCTCCTTTGCAACCTGCTCTTTGTAGTAATTAGGCTTAACAAAAGCCTTCCATTGGCTTCAAGGTCACAGTTGGGTTACCTGTCTGCTCTTGTGCTCTGTGCCCTCCCCACTGTTCCCTATGCTGCAATTTGGATTGAGAAAGGCCTTCCACTGAAGCCAGCGGAAAGTGTTTTCCAAGCCTAATTGCAACTCCAGGAGTAGATCTTCATGAGTCTGATGTTCAAGTGAGTAGATAAATGAGAACTGGGTGTGTGTTATGTGCATGATGGGCATATGTGTGTGCGCTAATGGAATTGTGTGCGCTGCGTGTAAGGATACTATGTGTATATGTCTTAAATGAATTCCTGTCTCTGTGTGCATGTATGAAAAAAGCATCTGAAGGCCCTGCTCACATCATCTTTTACCCTGCACATCTCTGACATGAGGTCCATGGAAGGTTCCATGGAAGGTAATGGGGCAATCAGGCCAAAAAGTTTGAGTACATCATGAAATGACAGGGCTCACTGCAGAGAACATTGCTAGGGATAGTCAAAGACAAGGAGAAGGAGAAGGAGAAGGAGAAGGAGAAGGAGAAGGAGAAGGAGAAGACGACAAAGACGAAGAAGAAGTAGCAGCAGCAGCAGAAGCAGCAACAGCAGCAGATGAAGACGAAGATGAAGGGAAAGAACAAGTATGAAATGGATTGAGTCCATAAAGGAAGCTACAGCCTTGAGTTTAGTAAAGCTGAACAGGACGATCAAGGACAGGACATGAGGTCATCATAGGTTGGAGATGACTTGATGGCCCCTAACAACAGCAAATCTGTTTTTAAAGGGATATGTAATACAACACTTTATTATATATTTTATAGTTCTGTATCTGTGCCCAAATGCAGAATGTTGTATGGGAAGCTTCACAAAGAGTCATCCTGCTTACATTAAACGTGACTTGTATGTAACACATTTTATGTTTATTTCTGCAGGTGACCACCAAAACACCACGTTATCTTTCGTTACCTAAAAACACTAAGTTAGCTGAGAAAGTACGGAAAAGAAATCAGTCTTCTTTCAAAGGTAATTTGGTTTTGGAATATAAAGAAGGATGAATTGTTCAGCAATTTTTGCTGATCTGATTACATGGCAGAGGAACAAAAAATAAAATAAATGAAATAGGGCCTTGGGCCTGTTTCATACTTCCTAGACAATCTCTCCCTAGCATCCAAATAAACTTATTTTATGTAGCAGCATATGTAGAGGATGTATATATGAGAGATATTGGGAGTGATGTTTGTGTACCTGCGTATGTAATTGTATATTTATTGTATATTTTGTGTATTGTTACCAAGGAGCTTAGCTTGCTGCTCTCTCAAACATAGCCTTTAGTGCTTTTGGAAACTGGATTCTTTCTGCAAGACTATGCAAAACAGACATGAATGCAGACAGGGCACAGAAAGTGGGAAATAGCATACAGTAGCTATCCTCTTCTGAGATGGTCTTGCCCTCAGTACTTAAGTGTGAGAATTCTGGATATATGCAAATACCACAGACTCTATCTAGCCCCCTGTGCATAGAATCCGCCCCTGATGTATCCATTTATTGGTCAATGGAAACCCTGGCACTGCTGGACTAAGACATTGTGTTGCCTGAGGCAAAGGACAGGTTGGTACCCCTTGATGAAATAATATTATATCCCAGTTTTTGTTTTCATTCCATATTTTCTACCTTTCTGTCCTTTGCAAATTACCTATGCATCATGATTACATTATTTCCAGTTCTGTCTTCCAATTTAGCCTTGTCTTTGTCCATTTGGCTTCAACCCTCCTCTGTCCATATTAGACTGTGTCTGCTCCCTCCCCCCGCAATACATGGTGTGTTCTTATCCTCCTTTATTTCTTTCGACAATCATTCCTTCTGTATAATTAATTCCTTAGCTGCCAGTCCCATCAGGATGCCTGCATGTATTTCTCTTCTTTGTTTGTAATAAACTTTATACTCAATTATTCAAATCTCCTGTCTCATTACTAGTTCCCCAAAGCTGTATTTACTGCTTTTTCTCCATCTGGGTCTACCAATCATGTCACTTTGCATTGTGACTCAAGGTTTAAGATTCCTGACACGTGTTGCTCAATGGCATGTGGATTATCAAACGTATCTGCATGAAGAATTGTATATACTCAAGCAATGACATGAGGATAGACGCTGAATGCTTTTTCAGACAGGTGATCAGCAGCAAACCACTTCTCACCAATTTTTCTTCCAGAGGAGGAGGGGGGAAAGAGGGTCTATTTGGGCATTGAACCCATCAGGCTCCATAGGATATTCCTCTAAATGTGGACCCAGCTTTGGAAGGAGCTATGATGAAGCCATCATTGCTTGTGGGGTACATCCCCATCTGTTCAAGTAGTGCTTCATTTTGTCTCACTTAAAACCCCCCACAAAACGTGTTTGACCGGAAAAAAGAGTAAGGCACATGTTCTCATTCACCTTTAATTCTGTGGAGGAAACCATTAACTATTTGTACATGATAAAACACGGCCCAAATTCAAAGAGCTACTTCGGGGTTTGAGTATGCCTAATGCCTCTCCTTCCTCACATTTTCTGTTACAGTTAAACTATAGATTTCCATAGCATCATGCCTTTTGAAACATCACCTCTGTTTCCAGAGCAGTTTGCCAAGTAGCATGGGAGGTAACTTTTTAAGAACTACAGGACCTAAACTCCCTGGGTGTGTGTGGAACTAGTTGTGAGATTCCTTGGGCCTCAGCCATAGATTCCAGATAATGTGATTTCCAACAGCATTGCATTGTGCTGTCTGTGCTTATCCATTGCTTGATGGAACATGGAAGCAAGCATAAAATCTGCTGTAAAGCATAGAAACTGCTTGTGGGTATCCTTACTGTTTTTTAAAGTGCCAGCTGTGAATAATCCAAAGCAGTCAGGAAGTTGAAGCCATTTCTTGAAAAATTTGATCCCGCTATGACCCTTTCTCCTTTGGTATGGCTACAGGTGTGACCAGGGCACTCAACCAAGTTGACCAGATTCCTGGGCACTTCAGCTTCCCTCATACTTAGGGAAGACCCACAGAAGTCATTGGGACCAGTTAGGCATACTCAGCCTGATCTGGGTACAATCCACTGTCTCTGTATTTCTTTCCTAAATTTTAGGACTTGACTGTTAGTTACATGCCTTCTGTAAAAGCACCTTTTGATTTGAAAACTGTTGAGTAGGAGCCAAATTCCTTTGTGGCCTGTGCTAGTATTTCATATTCCCTCTGGAATTGCAAAAACAACGACAGCATTGTTGTTATCAGGCTTCTATCATTTCACAGGCCTTAACATTCTCTCACACTGTTATTTCATATTTTGGAAGGAGTATGGAATTGTTTGTACTTTGACTTTTTGCTTTAGCATTTATTTAAAGAGTTCATACAGAAACTAGATAGAAATATCAGGTCCCACAGAACTATATGGCATCATAAATACCACTGGTTCATGCTAGGATGCAGTTGTAACAACGTTCAGGCTGCATAAGAGAAATTTACTTTCCCGGAAAGTAGAATGTACCAAGAGCAAGGATGGGAAGAGGATGACTGTGGCTTTTTTTCTTGATGATTCTTAGTTTCATAATATTATTCTGCCATGCAATGGGTCCACTCTGGCTATTCTTACATACAGCAGATTCTAATTATGGCAGAGATAGTATGAACAATATCTGTGTTCATTATTAATTACAGGAAAAGGCTGCCACTTTTCCATAAGCAGATTTGTGTAATCAGCAGGAACAACACAAATAACATGCTGTTCATGCTCTATACACAAATGTGGAAAACGGTGGCCAAGTTCCCGTGTTAATTTTTTGATGGAAAATTCTCCCATCCTCGTTCTGTTCTAATCCTGATGGTGAGTCCACTGGGTAAGACCACATATTAACTATGTCAGGATGAGCTTTTGCTTTCATTGAATCTCAATGGTGAGGCACATCCCTAATTTCTCATCATGGGGATCACATCTCAAATAAAATTTTGCCATTAAAAAACAATGTACAGTGTGGAATGAACCAGCAAGTTGGCTAATGGCAAGTTGGTTACCATTAAAAAGCATCTGTATAGCCTTCTAGTAAACACACAATGCATTTGCTGTGTTCAGGCATTCTCATATATACAATTAACATTTGTGTTGGAAGGGTGACTCCTAGTATGTGGGGCACACACCTTGAGAAAGGAACCCGCTGTACCTACCATAATATGCTGCCTGATTACTCGTGGGCATATCCTTGCTTTCCGCCTCGTCTGGTTCTTGTAGCTCTATGGTCATGTTGTACTTGTACTTCTTGTATGCAGCAAACGGAGATGTTTGTCTAACTTCTGTTCCATCATGAACTGAGATGTTCCTTAAAATTGTTAATACAATGATTTTCTAAATTTACAGTAAGTGACAGCAGTGATTCTGAATCTGATCATGCTACGGTGCTGAATTTAAAATCCCAAGCAGGAAAAATTTTGAGAGACCAGAGACTTCGACAGCAGCAGTGTAGGATTGAATGGAAGAATGAAGTGGACAGCAATAACAGAGAGCCGGTGAGCTACCCTCAGGTTGGTCAGGGCTTCAGGCAGCCCCTGTTGCCAAGACCATCCTTCGGCACACTGCGTGAAGAAGACTCCCCTGAAGATGACAGATCGACCAAACCAGTACCACCACCCCGATTAGTTCGACAGGCGTCCAAAGTTGAAAAGCCTAGAGATAACTCTGACAACAAGCCATACTGAAACCCATTAAGCAGAGCAATTTGCAATAACAGATGGAGTAGACTGTAACCAGAGGGTTGTATCCATATGAAGATGGGGTTATAGGTACTAGAGGAGGATGTGTGCGGAAAGCAATCCTTCTAGAAAACATGGAAGTGCAAAGAAACCCCTACCTGCAATGAAACCAGACAATGCAGCTACAGGCAGCGTCTGGGTTATGAACAAGTTCTGTTCCTGAGAAATTCATCTTTATGTTGCATTTGTGTGTAAATAGGATCAGCCTTCCACAGTCATGGGGGCTGAGGGCACAGAATCCTTGTGAAAGTGGAAAAACTGCAAATATCTCTATGCCCCTATTCACCAGTGCCTCCTTTGCGCAACAAGGAAATACTAGAGAAATTTCCCTCTTTGGGGGTGGGGGGGAGATGGGCAACCAGGAAGGAAGGCATGTTTTGGAGGATTCCCTCTCTCCCCTTCCACTTCTCCTTCTCTCTTTGGTGATGACAATTTTCCACAGTAACATTATAAGGCTTTATGGCATTTTGTTCGTAAATATGGATTGTTCGTAACTCAGATGTTTGTAATTCAGGGACTGCCTGTGGTTTTTTTTTTTGGAATTGTCATGCTTCTACAATGAAGGAAAGCTTTACCAATTATATATGCTTTATTATACATCATTGTCAATGGTAGGTTTTAAATGTGAGTTGCACTGAGACATTGCACAGTACACTTCTTTTTAAAGCACTTGCAAGAATGTATTCTTTGCAAACATTTCTGTTAAGGGTGCCTGGCACACTGAAACACAGGTGTTGCTAATTGCAGAACTCTGTTTAAAAAAGATGCTGCAGTTAAGAACTCAACAAGAACACTGTGAAATACTTTAACAGCATGACCCTATTCATATCTACTTAAAAGCAAGGCCCATTGAGTCAAATGTGGCTTAGTTCAAGGTAGGTGGGTATAGTAGACTGCACCATTAGTAAGGGCTATTCGACATGTTTCCAAGCCAAATGTAGCTTATCCTTTGTGTCCTACCAGGTGCTTGAAGAATGACCCACTCATTTTTGCCACAACAAGTGGTCTGAGTCAGATGGGTAACTGCATAAGCAAGTTAAAAAGTGCCCAAATGAAAAAGTGGTTTGGGCAGCCATTATTTGACATTTTTTAGAAATGCCTTGCAGCCTTTACTATCTGACTGTGGTGATATGAAGGTTGCAACTGCACCCTAAATAGTATACCTTTGCAAAGCTGTAAATATATGAATCTTTTGGTTCTATCAAGGCATACTTCTTACTACAAGAGATAAATGGTATGAGAATTATTTATTACAATTTATTAAAAATATTTTTGAGACCCAGGGGCTCCTAAGGCTATATATATATATATATAATTTAAAAAACCCCAATATACATCAAAACCATTAAAACAAATGTTTAAAAGATCAAAACATTTTTTAAAAATCAAATTAAAATATATAGTCATGTATTATCTAGAAACCAACCTCTGCCTAATGTTGTCTTCTCATTGTATTGAACATGTCATGTGAAAGGAAGAAAACAGTTTATAAACAAAAAGATTCAAGTCTGTTTCTGTTGCCTTTTGTCATTTGTTTCAGTACACATTAACTCTTAATTTGGAAATGTCAGAAGATCAGTAAATAAGTGAATGCTCAGGAGAGAGAATACATACAACTGATTATTTTCCTCAATGTGTTATTTTCAGTTATGGCCTTTAAAAACTGGGAAAAAACCCATAATGCTCTCAGTATAGGATATAGATTACATTTGCTGGAAAATAGTATTAAATTAGTATTTACCTGATAAATGCAACCATGCTGCAGAACTTCCAGGTGTGGCATTAAGGGCCAAAAACATGAGATTAGGTTATGTTATTTTTGCTTTTAATTACCACCGCCCAAGCATTTGGGCTATCTTTATACTTGGTTTCTTTGCTTGATTCCTACATAACTGATGATTTGCAGGGGGGCGGCGGGGGGGGGGGGGGAAGATGCCGAAAAAGGAAATGATTGGCCTCTAGTGCCATCTGTTGGAAAATATATAAACTACCTGAGTGCAACATCTTTCCTTCCTTTTCTAATACAACCAACCCTTTCCTTACCAACACAAAATACTCTGTTACACAGGGTATCAATAATCAGCTAGTAGCTTTTGCAAAGAATGTGTATGATGAACCATGACAACTTTGACACATAATGAGTCAACCATGATGACTTTTGAGACATATACTTAAGTCTTATACTTACCTGGGAGTAAGCCCTATTCATTGAACACAATGGGACTTCTCAACATAGGTAAGCCTGCACAGTGACAAGTGTGTGTTTTGCTTTTTGCTCCACTAGGTAAGTTGAAACAAAACAGACTAACATTGATGGTATTAGAAACAATAAGTGAGGATGAGGGAGTCCAGAAGTTGTAGCCCATCGTATTTCAGGGGTGCTTGCTTGCAAAAAGCTGGGCTACCTGTTTGAGCAGCAAGAACCCCCAATTACTCTTTAAGCAGCAGCAGCAGCAAGGGAAAATCAGCTTGCTTGAACTACATTTAAATGCCCACTTAAAACTCACCACCCTTTTTGGGCCTTGCAAAACTGATCTTTGCTTCTCCATCCCCCTTCCCTTGTGTGTCTTGCCATTCCAGTTTTTAAGCCGAATGGCAGCTACTCTCAATCTCCCTCTTTTAATTGATGTAAATGGCTGTCTGAAAAGTGGGATGAAAATGCAGCAAATAAATCATATTTAACAAAGACAAACAAGCCCAGACAATGATTGATTTGCTATGTGTCTCACGCAGGTAGAAGCAACCTGGTCCCTACTAATCCTGCCTCACTTTGACTGCTATGTGAAGCAGGCCTGGTCTCATTTGCTAGATGCTGTTACTACCTGTACCCATTTTTCTAGTACTCAGGTAAGACCTGTGTGGCTACCAGAGTAACTCTGGAATGACAACGTATTACTCTAAGCCTTCTGGGCATTTGCACTGGTGACCATTGAGTACTTACTAGAGACCTGTAGGTACCATCTTCCTCCAAGGGGTCTGAGGTGGGTAGAATACTGCCAATTCCTTCTTACCTGGATTAGGCGCCCATCTCAGGGCAGATCCAAATCTTACAGTCTCCCAGCTGCTGAAAACAGTTCAGCATATCTGTGCATGCTTCACTGAGCAAGTGGAACCTTTTAAAGGCCTTTTACTGTGTAAAGGTAGTTTAAAGCAGGGCACGAGTTCCCAGAAATGTTTACAAGTGGTGTGAAGAAAGTTAAGAACATTAGGAAAGGTCAGGCCTGACCTTGGGACCAAGGCTCATTAGTGATGTCCCAGAGAATGCATCTGAAAGAGAAAAACTTAGCTCACACCTCTTTCATGACTGGGAAGAAAGTGCACCAGACAATGTACCGTATTTTTCCGTGTATAAGACACTACTTTTTCTTAAAAACATTTACTTAAAAATGAAGGTGTGTCTTATACACGGGGAGGCCACAGGTGCGCTGGGGGGAGGAGACTGGTGCACGCAGGAGGGCGGTGAAGCAGCGTGCGCAGGCGGCAGCAGCTTGCTTGCTGGAGATGGGTTGGAAAAGTGGAGGTGTCCTATACATGGAGGGCGGTCTTATAGATGGAAAAATATGGTATATTGAGAACCTACCAAATATCTGTCATCTTATAAAATACTAGCTTGTATTCCCACCTATTAAAATGGTGGTGGTGTTGACATTGGGAATGCAGGAAACAAGTTTCAGAAAATGAAACATCCAGACAACAGGATATGGCTTGGATCATAATGCCTCATTACCAAACAAGTGCTCCCTGGCACTAGACACTCCCATAAGTTACTTGGAATTATGGGGAGGAAAAGCTTAATTAGAAGGAAAAAAAATCAAAATATTGCTGATACCCTCTTTCCCAGAACAACCGCCATTTTGCGGCTGATGAACCTCAGGAATTTTCAATTTTCTTGTTTCTGTTCTTAAGATGGTTGAAAGTTTTCAAACTTCTGATATAGGGGATAGATTCAACTGGTGTCAAGACACCAAACTGCTTTGCTGGCTTATATGAAGAGCAATATACTTTCCTAGTTCCTTGAGTGACAAGGATCTCTCCTGATCTGGAATACAATGCATAATACATATATTCTAGGTAGCACAATGACAATAACTGACACAAAGTTCTTTCCACTTATTTTGCAATAGAAATTGCAACTTTGTAATGGTTTCAAATAATCTTAAAACAAAGTATAATGCATCACTGAACCCCCATTTTACAACCTTTGTCTGTCCAATACTCTACAGATAAATAAAAATATTTCCAGGCTATTTATTCTGTAATGTAATCTAAGTAATTTTTAGAGTTTAATTGAGACATTTTGGATTACAAGCAAGTAAATGTCTTATTTAGGTTTGAGGTTGCCACCTGGGGTGGGTTCATACAACACAAACTTTATGAATATGCATCACAGTGTGGCGCATTCACAAAGCGACCCATGATGTGCCCAACAGAAGGCTGACTTTACTGCCCGTTGTTTTCTCCCTCTTCCTCCCACTTGGACCTCAGTATTGCAGCCTCCAGGGTCATACAACCCCTTGTCTACCCCACTCCTCTTCAATTGTTACCCTTTTTATCTGCAGTTTCTTTTTCTCAGAACCCTCAGCTGCCACCACTGATGTGGAAGTAGCAGTTTGCAGCAGCTCTCACTGGCTTGTTATCCCTTTTTTGGGGCGGTGATGATACAAATTGCACAATAAATAATTAAACTATTTGATTATTATTAAATAATAACAATTTCCTGGTCCTTCACAGAAGAGCAAAATGTTGCCTGGCCAACGTCCTGGTAAATGTCGTCAAAGTGCAGTAAATGACACTCATGGATGTTGACCAAGCATGGCACACACAACAGTTGTAAAGTGATGATACCGCAAGAGCTTTTTGGCCTGCTCATTGCTTATTGTAGCCCATGATGGAATCAGTCCTCCAGTTTCATGACATGCCAACCCACCAGGAGCCTGTTCAACAATCCTTAGAACAAGGCACCCTATGGGAAGTGGTCTGAGCCAGACATCATAGGTACCCATGGTGGGCTGCCATGCCATGAAAATTTAGTCTGCATGCATTTTCTCTAGAGAATAAGCCTCACTCCACTCTCTGGGAGTTACTTCCAAGTAAACATGGATAAGAAAATAATGTACCTGCTTTCTTCCATGTTTCCAACTACTGAAAATCAGAAAAGAGTGTCTAACTTTATGCTAAAGGCAAATGCTTAGTTAATCGTTGTTAACTTTGGGTTGCTTAACCCATGAATAACCCAAAGTGTACAGATCTGCACATCACAAAGTGATATTACAGCAGTGCAATGGCAACTACCTGAGACTGAAATGGATTTGAGCTACCATGCTTGTTTTTAAAAGTTCTTCATCTCATTTACAACTATTTGAACAGAGGAATGCTATGGTTCAGGTTAGTAAAGTTGCCTTTGCGCTACAACCAGGAGCATTCTTCGATCATGTAACTTATACCCTCTTCCAGTCTGTTTACCATTGTTTAATTGACAGGTCAGGGAAAGCAAACACACAAACTGGGAAATACATTCAGCTCTTCCCTTGATTCTGTAAGGTTCCCTTTTAAAGAATCCTGCAACAGCCCTCCAGAACATTTACAGTCTTTGACCTAAGTCTCTTAAATAACTTGTTGCTTGTCTAAGTAAGAAGCATACAAACTCCTCACTACGTGCTTTTCAGTTTTGTCCCCCCGCTGACAGAATAACGTGATTTATTAAAGACCAGGATAAGAACAGCTTTAAGTCCCATCAGGCCTCCAAGGATGGGGGGACCACGTGGACTGATCTCCTGGGCAATTCCTGAGAGAAGTGGCGAAAGAATGCGGCCCATGGCTGAGACCGACTGTCCGAGTCCAATGAGCAACCCACTGGCCTGGTTCCCACCCACAGCCAGTTCAAAGTCAGTAATACAAGTACGTCCGACAGTGGTTGAGAATGCTAAAAACGTGGCAGACAGGACCACTGTCCATACATTCTCCGATAAAGCATATAACATCGTAGAAACACAAGTGATGATAGTGGACCGTAGTAAAATGGCATAGGTGTTGTGCTGGTAGAATCTCGTGATTGGTCTGAGCAAAAAGCCAGCAGCTACTCCAAGAGTGCTGCTATAGCTGATGAGGTAGCCAGTGAGTTTAGGCTTCATCCCAAACCTCTCTTGAAGGGCCAAGACAAAATTGCTGTGATACAGCATCACTGCAACAGACATCAGTAGCCGGACCAGGAAAACATCCCATAGATCAGAATGGGCAATGCTGCCCAGCCTCTTCAGTACTGTCAGTACTTGGGTCCAAAAGGACTCCACAGGAATACCACGCTTCATGGTGTCATGAGATAATGCCTGGATCTGCAGGGTGCTTTTCACCTCCACTGATGGAACATCTCCTGCTTGGTTCACAGGGCTCCACGCATTAGTGTCAATCTTTTTTTCATACCACAGCAGCATCCAGAAAAGACCTGTCAAGAAAGTTGAGCAAACAGTTAAGAATGAAATGCAGACCACACATTTTCTGCAAATGGCCTGATGCCACAGTCACAATGTAGTGCACGGGAATGCAGAGTGACCTTACATGGGCCCAGTGCTGTCTGGGGTGGTAAAAAGAAGCCAGTGCAAAGGTTGAGCTTTCAACCAGACTGGAAGAGATTCAAGGTGGAAAAATTGTTTTATTGCAGGCAGGCATGGTGATAATTGCCAGTTTACACGCAATTTCACTAATGAAGGCGAACATTTACAAAGCAAGTGGTCGGTAGGAAACAGGTTAGAAAAAGAGGTGAGGATATAAAACAAACCAGAAGCAGGGCATATGGAACTGCAATGCCCACTGTGAGTGATCATATAACAAACTCTGAACAAAGAGGTTTTTTAAGCAGTGATATGAAAGCCCTCCTTCTCTTTCCCAGGACAGTATCTGTTTACAATTTGCAGTAGTCATAATCTATGCAAGATATATAACATTAAAAACCACAGAAATTACTATAATGTAAAACATAGCAAACAGTATAAATAAAAACAGAAAGCAGAATCTGCTCAAATCACAAATTATAAGACAGGGCTAGAGAATATATGGGGCTCCAGATGTTAGACTGCAGTTCTCATCCATCCTAGCCAACTTAGGCAATGAGGAGGGATGATGGGAAGCACAACCCAACAACATCTGAAGGGCTGACAATATCTGGATAAGGTTGTTTCCTATCGCTGCCATAAACCAACTCACAAGCAAACATTGTTATGCTTAGACTATTCTACATAATGGTCAACTTAAAAACAAACAAACAAACCACAATCAATACCCCTTTCACAGCACACCTAGTGAGGATATGATGTCTCTTAAAAATAAACGAAACTCATGCATGAAAACTTATTCAGAAACATGTAAAGGTTTTTTTTCCACAAGCTGTGTAAACCCGTGTGTACTACTGACCTCAGCTATTAAATGTTATTAAGTGTCTTTCATTGATAACCTGCACAAAAGAAGATACTGTACTATGAAAGGAACATCTTTTTTTCAGCCTAAATTTCAGGGGATTATTTGGCTCTGAGGCAGGTAAGCCACACAAACATGAAATATTAAAATGCAAGAAAAGGTGTTCACAGCATGCGTAAAATGACTCAAGGTGCTGTGACTCTATGCAGCAGTGGTGTCTGCTGTGTGGCCTAAGAATAATGTGAAGAGCAAATGGCAAACATGTCTTCCTAAGCAAAGATGGAGAAGTGTTGTGAGTTACGAACTATAGGAATCCTTGATGTGCATCCATTTCATGTTTCAGAACACACATCTACAGTCTCTGTGTTACACATTTAATGGAAGACAACTGTAGATACAGGAAGCATATATAGTTCATGACTCATAAAACAACACTGAGAGAACTGGAAGGCTCAGAGTATGCTAGTCAATATGTTTTCTCCCTATGACTTTTAATAGCAGTGGTACATATTGCAAGATGCTCCAGGGTATCTTTACTGGCCCAACAATGGATTTGACCTAACAAGATCTTTTTTTCCTATTATGAAAAGTACTTGCTTAAAGAGGAAAAATGTGAAGAACTACCCAGTGCAGCCACTTGTGCCTGTATTATGGTACAGACCTCAAGAATTGGTATCACAACACAATACAATAAGCATCACAATACAATTTGCTGATTTAATAAAAGACTTGTACAAGCCATAAATAAGATATAGCTTTTAAAATATTTACATGCAAACTAGTAAAGGACATACCGGCATTCAAGATAAATATGGAAGCACAGATGAAGGCTGTTAGGTAAAAGCCACCTTCTAACTCCATAAAGTAGCCTCCAATGACAGGTCCCAGAATGAAACCAAAACTGGAGGCTGTGTTAAAATATCCTATTACTAGGAGGCGCTCCTTCTCAGAAACCAGGTCAGAAATCAGAACTTTTGAAATGGAGTGTGTGTGCTTGAAAATACCTAAAAAATAATAAGGGAGGTATTTAGGAAGTTATGGTGGGAATGGCTACCGATCTTACATTGTTCAACTCGTACTCTAGAGCAAGGTCTGTAGAGAGAAACACAAGGAATGTTAAGTTATATGAATTCAATATGCCTTCTTTTGAACTTTTCATTATGACTCCCAGCACTGGCTTTGCAGGGTGTTCCCATGGGGCTCTTGCATGCGGCAAGAAAGGACAGCACAGATGTTAGGAAAAGTGGCCCTGCTTCCTAGCATCTGTTCTCTGGCTTTGTGTGGTACAAGACATCTCTATGGGGCCTGCACCATGGAAAGGAAGTTACTGGTGCCAGGAAGACCAGTCACTCCTCCAGCATCCCCCATCCCAGCTCTAAGGGGAGGAATGTGCTGTGATGGTTCCAGAGGGAAAAGCTTTAATGTGAAGCCCTGCCCCCAGGAGAACCCCAAGGTGGTTTTGCAGGCCCAATTTGGAGCTTTGCGCACAGGAGATCCTGCACTGCAGCATTTTTAGGTATTCGACTGCAGTCAAATTATTTGCGTAATTTTATATTTTGTTGCAAGCTGCCCTAGGACCAGATTGGGCCCAGTAGATAACTGACCTGCTCAGGACCATCTTCCCAAATAAATGCACCCCTCTGTAAAATGTGTTTCCCAACAGTTTCGCCCGCCTTAAGAATTTTAAGTCCTATTACTATGGATGGGAGCAATACGGCTTCCTCACTAAAAAAATGGGGATTGAAAGTACTTTACTTTGGCTGCATTGTGCACAATACATTTAAAAGATCAGAATTTTTGTCTGTCTGAACTATAACGAACCAATCTGCAATTCCCATCCTGGAGCTTAAGCTGGGCCCGAATGAAAAGAAGTTACTTACCAACAAAAATCCGGGCAATGGCAAATAAAAACACATTGGTGGATATACTAAGCACAAAGTAACCCAGTGCACTGAAGAGAATGCAGGCAAGAAGGCAGTAAGATCTTCCTACTACATCGCTCCAAGAGCCCTGTATAAGACAAAAGAAATGCTCTCTGATCACAAATGTATATTACCATATGTAAATACTCTATGCGTTGGATCCAGACCTAGTCATACTTCTGTAGACCTATGGAATTTAAGTTAGTCCTGACTAATTCAAATATCATTGCTTTTAATAGTTCTACTCTAAGTAAGACTAAACTGCAATTCAACATAGTGCATTTATTTCCATTACATCTTCATAAACAAATACTTGAAAATACTTTTCAGTCTCTTTCATTAATATATTGTGATAATAATTTCACTCCCTTGACATATATAGACACAACTTGTCAATTATTACTCTATAATATTATTTTTTACACACACATATACATACATACATATATACATATATATACAGCTTCCTTCTGGACCTAAATAAATTATGAGCTAACATACCCTGAAGAGGAGGAATCAATGAGTGAATGTGACAGACAAGCCTGAAAAGGAGGCAATACAAGAAATTACAGGCAAAAGCAATCCTAAAATACTCCCTGGAAGAGCATCCAAAGGAACATAAGACTGTTTGGAGAACTCCTCCAAAGTCAGTAGACACTGCTATGACCTGAGAAGAAGAATCTAATCTAAGAAGAATCTAAGCCATGGAAGGGACTATTCTGCTTTCCAAGGTCACTTGTGTGAAAAGATGGTAAAAAGAGGGTGGTCTGGTAGGAAGGGAGAGGATGGGCACAAGAAATTCTATCACCTCTCCAGTCCCAGCCAGTTTTGGCAGTGTTCCAACACAGAGACCCATCTAAAGCAAACTGCAGTAATAGGAGGATGGAAACATGAAGCTCACCTTCACTGCTCCACCAACAGTAGCTCAGCAGGTATTTGATATGCAGATGCCTGAGGTCAGAGGAGTGTTTCTAAGTTGATAGTGGCACTGGTACATGCAGGAGGAGCTAAGTATAGGTTTGGTTTCAGAAGATATGGTTTGTATTATTTGTCTAAACCAGAGAGGTTTCTACTTGTGTTGGTATTAAAATTATAAAAAGGGGGAAAAGATATCAACATTAAGTTTAATGTTTAATAGGATGAATATTTCAGAAAAACAAAAACAAAAAGCAAATCACATTTATTAGGCTTCTGCTACTAATTCTAAGCCAAAACTTTTACAGAAAAAAATAATATGCTTTTACCTGATAAATTGGATCATTTCCTAAAATTGCATTAACAACAGTAAAAAAGAAGTCTAACTACAGAAAAGATACTTTGTTCCTTCTTAATTAGAAGTAGACACATATACAGAAACAGCAGTACTTGTTTGATTACTTGGTTTAGGTTCAAAAAATACATAGCGCATAAAGGGTCACCTATTATAGAAAATTGCTTCAGAAAATGATTCAAAACCAGTTTGTAACATGGGGTCATTTGTACAATGACAAAGGAAGTTCACCTGGGTATGCCTCTACACACTCCATTTCCAAACTTCAGGTTTAAGTTGTTCAGTTATATTACATATTTATTTAATCGCTTCCAGAGTGATAATTTAAGTCTGGACCATGATTTATTAACCCAAATAGTCTCATATACCCACACAATAAATGCATCCTCACAATAACCTCAGAAGGCAAGTTCAGCTAAGTATTTGGTTAAAAACTATTCAATAAGCTAAAGAGGTGAACTAGGATTTGAATCCAGAACTCCAGAGTTTGCTCTTGGCAATTGCATTGTACTGTCCCAAGCCATTACAATTGACTAGCAATTGTTTGTGAGGCAGGAACACAAACTTACCACTAAGGTGCTGGAAAAAAACTGCAGTATTCCATATAAAGATCCTAAAAGTGGAGAAAGCATTAAATAATCAAGTATGAATGATCATTTTGCAATTTATTTTCAATCATGGGGAAAAGTTATTTCCTGTCTTATACAGAGTTATGAAGTCTGAAGGCCTTGGGTGAAAGGGGGAACCATTCAGGGAAAAAAAGAGTTTTATTGTTTTTCTTCTCCCCAAGGACTGCATTATATTTTTAAGAAATATTCTACAGCTTTGGATTATGTTTGCTTGTATACTTTTCTTATTTATATAATGACTATATAATGACTATTATAACACTTTTAGAAAGACTTAGAGATGTAAAATGGCTGGAAATAAGGAACGCATGGGGGAGGATTACCAACAAAGTTACTCTTTCAAAATGTTATTAAAGTTGTTGATCTAATGTATCTTTTGCTGATAATCTTCATCACCATCATAGCAAGCAATTACGTTTATATATTAAGGGCATATGAACTATTTTGCTGTGGCAGATTGTCTCAAGAGTCTCAGCTGGATTCTTTTGCTGACATGCAACACACATTCAGAAGTGCTTACAGGGTAAAAGATGTGCTCACCTACTACTCCTGCAACAGTCGGGCTTGCTCCTAAAGTCTTGACATGAAGGCTTAATAAGGGTACAATCATGCTGACACCAAAGAAATCCTGCAAACAGACAACATAAATGCTCAGTAAGTTAGTAAGCATATCTACACAGGCCATACTTATTTTAAGTGCACTGCTGTTGCACAATCACACAGCAACAGCAAGTTCTGCACAACAGAAAACCTCATATGCTGTCCAGGCATGACAACTTGTCCTTTACATCCAGTTCTGTTGCTGTGTTCAATATAAAGGAACTGTTCCAATGATATGGGGCAAGTATGACCCCCAAAAGACCCATTTAAGAACTATTTCTGGACCTCAACTGCAATTCTGAGGAATGCTTGGTGAATGGCACACATATATTGGCTACCTATGGAAGGCCCTAGGAGGAGAAGGACAGATAGTACCATGCTTGGATCTCAATATAAACCTTTGTAATGCAGACACATCCTCATTCCCACTTCTGTTCCTTTCTGTAAAGCCAGAGTAGTTTTTACTAGCTTGCCTGACCATGCATGCCTCTTTGAGTGATGTGTGTACTACAAAACGAACATAGCTACTGTAGCTTCCCTCTTAAGGCAGTATTAAGGACTGCTTTAAGTATTAAGTATCATTTGCTTTAAGTATTAAGGACTGAGAATCCTCTTCTATTCTGCTCCCCATGGAGAATAGGTTCAAGAGCAAAGGTTCCAATCTTCTGAGTCACAACTAAAGCCTTTAGGAGAGGCTAATAAGGCGAAATAAATTCCCTATGATATAGGTACCCTGCAGCAGAATACGCACGAGAAGCATGCTAGTCCCCAATCCTACCTTCTCTGCTTCCATCACCCTATACACATGGACAGCAATCTTCTGCAGGTGAGCACCTCCAGTTTCTGTGAAGTCTCTCCATGCAGCTGAGAACATTGAAAAAGCAGCACTCAAAACTGCACGGAGAGCTCTGAGGACAGAAGAGGCTCTCCCCTCCTGAAAATCATTTCTTCTGTGTGGAATCCAACAGAAACAGAGATGTAGGGGGTGAGCTTAGCACATTCTTATTTTCAATGTAACAATGAACAAATAAGGTACAGATTCCGGGAAGTCATCATAGGTCAATGGTAGAGAACACGGTTTGCATGGAAAAGGTCCTGAGTTCAATGCCCAGCATCTCTAGCTAAAAGGACTGCACAGCCGATGACGGGAAGGATCCCTGCCTCAGACCTGGAAAGCTACAACCAGTTGGATTAGACGATATGAGGCCAAACAGATCAAACATTTCACATGGCAGTTCCTTTACTCCACAGTAACATGAGGCAAATCTGTTGCACTGGGCGTAGGGGGTATCTTGCATCCTAATGAGCAGAATCTGTGGTCCTCCGATTGGGCTGTAAGTTTCACCATCCTTGACCACTACCCAAGCTAGGCAGCACTGGCAAAATATTTGTAGGACCACAGCTGCCCAGCTCTTCCTGCTCATTCTTTGCTATGGTCACATTTCTGTTAATTTCTTGGACCAACAGATATTTGACAACTTCAGTTCATATGTGACACTAACATTACTTTGGTAGTGCACTGTTGAATGAAGTGCACTTATTCAAGGTGCATCATTTTTATCTTGATAGTTCTATAGTTGTACTAAGCAGCTTATTAGCATTTGCAAAAGAAGAAGAAAAATGCAGTTGTTTCTACACATTTAAACTGTACTTCCAAAATGCTGTTGTTATGTTAGTCACGAAATTGTGTCCGACCCATCGCGACCCCATGGATGACACTCCTCCAGGCTCTCTTGTCCTCCACCATCCCTCGGAGTCCACCCAAGCCCACACCCATTCCCACAGTGACTCCATCCAGCCACCTCATCGTCTGCCATCCCCTTCTCCTTTTGCCATCAATAGTTCCCAGCATCAGGGTCTTCTCCAGTGAGTTGCTCTTTCTCATTAGGTGGTCAAAGTATTTGAGTTTCATCTTTAGTATATGGCCTTCTAAAGAGCAATCAGGGTTGATCATTTAATTTCTTGGCTGCAGCCACTGTCTGTAGTGATCTTGGAGCCCAAGAAAATAAAATCTGTCACTACCTCCATTTCTTCCCCATCTATTTGCCAGGAAGTGATGGGACCAGATGCCATGATCTTAGTTTTCTTGATGTTGAGTTTCAAGCTAACTTTTGCACTCTCCTCCTTCACCCGCATCAAGAGGTTCTTTAGTTCTGCCATTAGAGTGGTATTATTTGCAGAGCCAGTGTGGTGTAGTGGTTAAGAGCATGGGACTGGGACTCAGATGATCCAGGTTCTAGTCCCCACTCAGCCATGGAGCCAACTGGGTGACTTTGGGCCAGTCACAGACTCTCAGCCCAACCTACCTCACAGGGTTGTTGTGGGGATAAGATGGAGGAGGAGATGTAAGCTGCCTTGAGCCCTTTGTAGGAAAAAGGCAGGATATAAATAAAAAAATAAAAATATCTGAGGTTGTTGATATTTCTCCCAGGAATCTTAATTCCAACTGGTGATTCATCTAGCCCCGCCTTTCTCATGATGTGCTCTGCATATAAGTTAAATAGGCAGGGCGACAGTATACAGCCTTGCCGAACTCCTTTCTCAATTTTGAACCAATCAGTGGTTCTGTGCCCAGTTCTAACTGTTTCTTCTTGACCCACATATAGGTTTCTCAAGAGACAAATAAGATGGTCAGGTATTCCCATCTCTTTAAGAACTTGCCACAGTTTGTCGTGATCCACACAATCAAAGGCTTTAGCATAGTCAATGAAGCAGATGTTTTTCTGGAACTCCCTAGCTTTCTCCATGATCCAGAGTATGTTGGCAATTTGATCTCTAGTTCCTCTGCCTCTTCGAAATCCTGCCTGCACTTCTAGTAGTTCTCGGTCCACATACTGCTGGAGCCTAGCTTGTAGGATTTTGAGCATAACTTTGCTAGCATGTGAAATGAGTGCAATGGTGCAGTAGTTTGAACATTCTTTGACATTGCCCTTCTTTGGGATCAGAATGTAAACTGACCTTTTCCAATCTTGTGGCCACTGCTGAGTTTTCTAAATTTGCTGGCATAATGAGTGTAGCACTTTTACTGCATCGTCTTTTAGGATTTTGAATAGTACAGCTGTGCCTCCTCCATTAGCTTTGTTGTTTGATGAGCAGGACCAGTTGGGAGTCCAGAAATTGCAACAGGTTTTACAGCGGTAATTGCTGTACATGTGGTTGGAAGTGCTCTCACATCAAGAATGTGATAGCATCAGAACAGAGGCCTTTCGAAAAAGAAAATGGGAAATCACTGAGTGTGACTAATACACACTTTGAAACGCCCCCATTCTGTTCTCCTGCTAGGCATAATGTGCAGCACAGCCCATAATGTGCAGGACCTGTTTCTCTTTGCCCTTTCAAAAGCAGGATTAGCCCTGGGGAGCATAGAGTAAAGACATGTAAAGTACTCTGAACATGTGCAGAGCAAATTCTCTGCAGCACAAATCAGGGAGGAGACAGAGGGGGCATGAATCCAAAGAAATGTGCCCGAGCCCTTCTTTGTTATTACGAATTAATAAATATCACTGAAATTAACCAATACCGCTGCAATTCCTTCGGATCACTTATCTCCAGGGAGTGTGGATGGCATGAAAATAGCGTACCTCTGAGCATGTGCGGAGTAAATTCTGCTCAGCACTGGCACAAATGGGAGAAGTAACACTCTTCTCTCTCTCCTGCTCGCTCTCTGGTCAATGCTACTCCCGACCCTTTGGGAAAGCTCCGTTCCTTCACCTGTGGCCACCTTCCCATCCTTTTCCATCCCCGCCGCGCTCACCAGGAAGCCAACCGCGTACAGGCACAGCAGCAACCGGCTGGGCCAAGAAACCCCGCCGCCGGGGGACCATGCCGCCGTTGCCTCCTCCTCTTCCTCCTCTTCTCCGGGTCTTTCCATTCCTCCGGGGAGAGAGTGCGGCCGCTGCGGGGCCCCGCGGACACTTCCATTCGCCATTCGGGGCTGAGAACGGGAGACCCGGAAGAAGGAGGACGAGGAGGAGGCGGAGAAAGCGAGAGCAGCCGTCGCCCCTGCTGCTGCCCTCTAGGGGGCGCGCCGAGGCGTCTCCGATGAGTGACAACGGCGCCGCTTGTTGGGGGCGGGGCGAGACGAAGCGAAGCGAAGCGAAAGCCACGCCCCCTCCGGCGCACCGGGATAGTCTGTTTGGGAGACATTGTGAGGAGTAGTTGGGCAGGAGGTGTAAGTTGCATTTCAGCGAACAGGGGGACTTGGCTTGTGGATGATCGCTGTTTATTAAAAAACATGCTTAACGTTTTCTGTGTTCTGTTGGTGCTAAAGGAAAGTGGATTACTAATACACGCTTTTTCATCATCTTACCTCATTAAAAACGGTAATAGAGAATAATTATAATTTTAAAAATCCCCTTTTCTTAGTCATGATGACAGCTTTGTCTAAACCTGTATAGCATTGCAGCCTACATGTGCAGTCCTATATATAGCGTACAGCCTTAGGGTCAGTGGTGTTTACTTCTGAGTGGAGACACACAGGATTGCATTCTTAGGGTACCAATGCTGCCCTATGACTTGCAGCATTCACAGCTCATCATGGTCGGCTGGGGAATGGTGGGACTGTAGAACTTCTTTTCTGTGTAAACGTGCTCAGGCAAGCGCTCTTAGTGACCTGTACGGAAAACACATTCTAGCTTTATTTTTTCTGCCCCTTTCTTGCTCTTACATTTCACTGGATCATGATTCAGAAATGGACTTTCAAAATAATCACTCTCCCACACAAACACTAAATATGATAAAACAGTATCCATTTTCAAAAAAACAAAAGACGTTATCTTCATTTATTGAGGCAAATAGGCACTTACTGAAATTGGCTACAGCAAATGGGATTTCTACATTGCGAAACAGGAAAGATCAAGACCTCCAAATGAGTAATCTAAATGTAGCTGTGATTTGCAGTTCTTTTTGGCTTATAATTTTAGATCCTTAGGACGTATAACAATCTGGACTTGTGCAGCGCAGTGGTTAGTAGTACAGGACAGGAACTGAGGCAGTCTGGTTTATAGTCTCTGTTTATGGAGCTAGAACTGGGTCACTTTGGGCCAGTCACAGAGACTGATTGACCACACAGGGTTGCTATTGTGAAGAAAACACTGAGAGGTGCAGAAGAATTATGTAAGCTGCCTTGAGTTCCTTGGAAGAAAAAAAAGACGTATCAGTTGTTTCAATATAATAAAACAGACATCAGCAACAGTTCATGTATGAACAAAGTTGACTTTTAAAAGGGAGGCACTGGTGAGGATTTTATTTTTGAGCAACTTATGGTATAGTAATTTGGCAGACTAATGTACTAAACAGAGATAGTATAATCTCTCATAAAAGAGCAATGATTCTACAGAGTGTTACTCAAAATGGGCAAATGCTGAAGACACTAAGGTGGAATTCTATACAGGGAGATTAAGACACAAAAAGTCCTAGAACATTTCCAGCCAGAACATTAAGAGATATAGAACCTTTGTTCTGTCTATACATCTACACAATTGTATCCTTAAGGGCCAGACCTATGTATGTTTAGATCAAAAACTGTACCAGTCCTTAACCCTAAGTACACCTAGCGAATTCTAGGAGCTAGACTCTTTTTCTCTCTGAACATCCATAGGATTATGTCCTCAATGCGTTAAGACCCTGATTGTTCACTGTAGTAAAAACAAACAATGTATAACACAATCTTATATCTATTTATGCAAAAGTAAGTTGACCATAGGTGGCCGGGACAGCTGGAATCTGTAGGCCTTTTTTCCTATCTACACTCACATAGGATTGCACCTTAAGCGTGCGTAGGAATGGAATCATCAAGAGAATAATAGGATCCTAATGAAATGACAGATCTAATATGTCAACCCCAGTGAACACCAGTGGAACTCCAAATTTTTATTTTTTACCAGAGATCAATTTGGCCCCACAACTTCTGCATTACAAACCTGATTTTTATCTTTATCTGGAAACAGAATAATTGTTTCCATAAGACTGAAGCTGTGGCTGTACAATAAAACATAAGGGCTTAATTTTCGTTTAAGTGATGCCACATGAGATTTTCCACTAAGATGCATGGGTGGGTAGATGTGCATATCATAAATTGTATTAAATCACAGTCTTTAAAGGCAAATTGCACAGCTTTCAAAGAATGGATTTTTAAAAAAAAATCAGAAAAAATCAGGACTTGGTGGCTGGCAGGGGAGTTGGTAGAAATCCAGGGTCATTTTCCTTGTAATCATCAGTTTTCTGAAAGGCCCAGATTCTTACATTAAAAAGAGGTAGAGACATTGCCATCAGCTCACCTCTTCCAAACCACGGAGGATCCCTGAAATTGCCTGATTAGAACTTCAGAAGCAGCTTTTTTCCCCATAGCAAAGCAGGTAAGATGCAGAATTTACAGAGGTGGACATCAGGTGCAGTTGATGCAGAACTTTTCTTAACAGTCCTGCCTAAATCAGCTGTTAATTTGTTGTGTCTAGATAATTTGCTGTATCTAGTTTAGTTTGCTGTATCATTTTCATTGAAGAATTAAGACACAAGCCTTTACTTTCCTGCTTTTTGGCTATATAATCTCTCAGTGTCACTATGGTAAGCTGAGTAAAACAGGTTAATGAGAGGAAATTGCACTTTCTTTCCCTTCCACATTTCAGTCAGGAAGTACAAATAATTCAAAATGGAAATAGAACTTCACTTTCTCAGGTCTCACCTTTATTGAGAAAAGCTGCAAAAGTGGGCCTCTTCATCTTGCTGTTGTCTGCAGAAATGTTGGATGAGGGAGTGCTTGACTGTCACAAGGGCAGGGAAATCCTCCCATGCTCGAAATTCTTCTTGGCAAGGACTGTTGGGCGGAGGGAGCAGCTGGGGCAGACCCGGCTGTTTGTGGAAGTCAGAGTCACACAAAGGAAGCTGGGCATGTACGTACCGCTTAAAATGGGCTCTGGAAGCGGGCAAGATTAAATTGACCATATTGCAAAACCAGAACCAGTGCGAACCTCATTTGCTGCAAAGGTGTTTTTCCACCTTTGTGAAAACATGTGTGCCCCTGTGTTGGATTCATACAGCAAAGAAGCATTTAGGCGGCAAAGAAGGCCTTAAAAATGAATTGACAGTGCATACCTAGGCATATCTAATCAGAAGTAAATCCCTTTTGGTTCAAAGTGCTGCTTAATGTAGTAAAAAATCCAGAATGAGAGGGAGACAAGAAATGAACGTGAACTTTTCCCTTCTGCTCTCCTATACACTGTCTTTATATTTCAAAACTGGCTAGTGCAGAGGGAAGTAGGGAAAAGGGTGATATGAAATAGGTTTCAACTGGGTCAATTTGTGCAAATGTGTTTTAACAGCATTGTCTTGTGTGCGCTTTGTGCTGCAACACCTAAATCCATCTCTCTTCAGGCTGAAGCTCAGAATCCAGGAAAAGTACAATCGTAAGGAGTTTCCAGAAGGGAAAACTCACTGAAGTAGCAAGGTTGCCTGAATTGAATGGACTTACTTCTGAGTAGCCACATATAGCATTGCAGACTTCATGAAATTGCAAAAATTACTGGAAAGTGACTTTTATTGAGACTCATAGGAGACTCAGAGTGTGAACAGTTACTCTAGCTTTTCCCAGCTTAGTATCTTCCACATGTTTTATACTGGAATTCCTGATTGTTGATCATAATGGCAGGAGCTGATGGGCAACAAAGCCAAAATATTCAGAGAGCAATAGGTCGGGGAAGCCTGAATTAAGAGAAGTTTGAGAAAGCAAAAAAGTTACATGCACTGCAAAGAAAACAGCTGGAATTTGTGTATGTTGTTTCTGTCAAAACTGGTCTGTCCACTGCAGAGACAAGCTAGCTTTGTAAATGGAATTGAAACCTGTCTTCATGGTAGGAGAAACACATTCCTCATGTTTTTATTTTACTTTTCCCCCCCTTTTACTAAACACAGCTGGCAATCTGAAGGCACAGATTTATTCCTGTCTGTGTCTGGAAAGAATTCAATCACTGCCATTCAAAAACTGTTGAAGTGTGCGGATGCCAACATCTCCCACATCTCTGCATTGCGTATGCTTAGGGAGGTTGGACTTGGAGCTTTTTGTACCTTCTTTTACAAGGATTGTGAGTTTGGGATAAAATGCAAAAAATTGCCTTTCTTCAGTCATTTTACTTTTTTGTTTGTTTTAATAATTAGCTTGTATTGGAATACATGCACACCAAATTTCAAATTTTAATGTGCTGGTAAAATTCTGTATCAGTTTGCTAATTCTGTGAATCAGCCAGTCAATCAGTGAAGTTGAAGCATTTTTCTACATCATTCTGATTTATAATTTATGATAAGCCTTCGGTATGGCCTATATATTTTTGGATTTCAGTCTGGCACTGTATGAGTGTGTTTCCCTGTGACGGCGCATGAACATTCCTTGTTTGCTTAGGGGAGGGAGGTCTAGATTGATTACAGGGTGCTCATGTGGGAACTGCTTGCTGGCACTAGATAGTGAAATCCAACCTGTGCTGAATACAAGGGGCACCGTAACTTCATCCGCTTTGCATGTCTGCTGAAGCACCAAGTACAACAATATTTCAAGTCAATCCTCAGCTCAGGGAAGGTCAACTATTTTTGGCTGGCCACTCCTAGCTGAGGGAAACACTGTAAAGCCCTTCCATGGAGTCTCCCAAAATAGAAGTCCCTGTCCATTCGTTAGGTCGCACATTAATGAGACACAAATCAAGCTGCAGGACAAATGGAAAAAACCCAGAGGGCAAGATTAAAAAACAACCAGTTGTTTAAAGACGATCAGACTTTCCTCAACAGATTTTTCCCTCCTTTTTTTAATAAACATAAATTGTAAGCATAGCACACTATTTTGAACAAACAAATCAGCAATGAAATTGAGTGTCGGTATATTTTTTGGAGGGTTATTTGGAGCTCTAGGAATTTTGTTCTTTTTAGTGGCCTTTGGAACAGACTACTGGTTACTTGCTACAGAAGTTGGAACGTGTTCAGACGGTCTGAATGAGACCATGGTTAGTATATATTTTTATTCCTTTGATGACATCTTGCAGAAGTATCACAAGGGTGTTTTCTTCTTAGTTGCTTGGTAGTAAAAGTCATGACAGAGGAACCCTATTCAGTTTAATGTAAATCTCATAGTAATCAGGAAATGCTCTTTGCTTGTGATGATGGTTGAAATAGTTTGGAATCACCCAAAGTATGAAGAAATAATTTCAGATTTAAGATATGGCTTTTCTTCAAAAAATGAACTAAAATGTGTAGATATGTTTATTGTCCATAGTTATATGTATTTGCGGAAAAGGGAGTCGTAGGTATAGTCAAACAGATGGAATGGTGAACTGTCTGTTTCTTTTCTGCAGGAAGAGAAGATTATTTTCCACCATGAAGGTTTCTTCTGGAGGTGCTGGTTTGATGGGAAGATACATAATAATCATAACAGCATGTGGAAGTTTTGGTATAGTAAGTATTCTTTCAACAATATTTGCTTTTAGAATTGGTACTTCTCTTTGTGTCTGTCTTGATCAGTTTTATTCACAGAGGGCAAACTATTTGTGAAGGGCTACAGCCAACATTAGGCTAACAGTTTACTATTCATGTAGTAGGAGTTCCTTCCATTGGGTCCCACCATCCTCCTGAGCACATTTGGGGACCTGCAGGGGAGGGGGATATGTTCTTTTTAAGATGCTCATCCTGCAGTATTGGCTCTTGAAGCTCTTATGTTACAGATATTAACTGAAATATTTGGAGGTGCCCACATGGATGCCAGTTTGCAGTAACCCACAGAACAATCCCTTTCTGTTTTAGTGCTGACCATCCAACATACTTGCTCCAGCAGCTTGGCTTTGCTTGAGAACAAGACAAAGGTTGCACCTACAGATATGAGAATAGAAGGGAAATAGCCACTGGTGTTCTACCAATATCGGCACAAGGGCTTTCGTGAAGTTGTTCTGCAGACTCTTGGCCAAGAGGGAACTCTGCTATTATCTCTAGCAGTTTGCATACTTCAGCTTATGCAAGAATTGCACAAACCCTCTAACAAGAGGGAAAAGTTTCACTTTTTTATGTACCACTCTAGCACAAGATGCCTGTGATTTAGATGTTAAGCCTCCAGGCAAGCAAGTCCTGTTTTTTTCTTTGCTTTTTCTTCTTGTAAACCACTTTGTTTTTCTGAGCTCTGTAACAATAATAAATACAGAAGGGAATAAATTATGGCATATGAACTGACTGCAGTGCTTGGAAAATCTATGTTTGATACCAAAGTACTTTATTAAAGTAAATATAAGTTACTGAGTAATTACTATACTAAAATATGTATATATCATCTTGCTCTAAAGTGCTCGATGTCATCATTTAAACCATATAATCAATAGAAATAACACAGCTGCAATATTTTAGCTCCAAACAAAAGACAGATGCAGCAGTGCAAGCCCCCGTTACATCCACTGCGTTGGTTGGTACAGAAAATGTTTGCCCCTGTTTCTGCTGCTCACCTATTTTCGGACTAATGAAGGGTGGTCACTTACGCACTGCCAGAAAAGAAAAAAACTGAATTACCAAGAAAGGGAAACAACAAGGATATATCTTTGCATAAAAGTTGCACATGCTAATTAAATGAACAGATCCAAATTTGGAAATGACTAGTGTAATTCAAATGGAATTACTACCAGCAGAAGCAGTGCAACCAGGTTGCCTGCGTGTCTGCTCATTCCTGCTGTCCAGTGGCTGACTGGACTTAATGGACAAGCTCAAGGACCCTTCTGACTCTTCCGTCTTATAGTTCTTTATCTTTAAAATGGACTTGACTAAGCAGCTTTTCAGGCCCTCTGTAGATAAAGCACACAGTCCTTCAATGCAAATAGAAAGGTGACCAAAATAATGAGAAGGCGTACTGTGTCCCTGTGCCAGGAATTGTGGCATTGCCAGAATGAGAAGAGAGGATGGATAACTGGAATGGAAGTGAGGGATTGTGGAAATGTGGGAAGGAGCAACGATAGCTTGCCACTGGGCAGAGGTACTGGAGGAACTGGAAAACTTGGAAGGCAGAAGTGTCTGTACTATATATATGGATCTTAAGAACACAGGAAGAACACATGTTGTATCCAACCCTCAAGTACAGCATTCCATTCACGCGGTGGCTAGCCAGCTGCCCATTGGACTGTGTGAAGAAGTACTTCATTCTATTTGTTTCAAGGTGCCACCAATCACTTCAGTGGAACAACTCTGGATTCTACAATTAGGAGAAAAGGAGAAAAATGTCTCCTTCTCCACCTTTTCCGCAGCATGCATAATTTTGTACACCCCTATTATGTTTACTTATCCTCTTTCTAAGCAAAACAGTTCCAAATGTCATGACTTTTTCTTGTTACAGCCCCTTCATCATTTCCATTGCCCCTTTCTGCACTGAAAGAGGCACTGGATATTTCAAGTGTGGCTGCACCATAGATTTGTATAAGGACACTATGATCTTATTTTATTTTTAATTCCTTCCTCATTATGCTTAAGAAGGAATTTGCCCTTTTCACAGTAGACAGACATTGGACTCACATTTTAATCAAGCCTTTTATTTATTTAATTTATTGTTTGGATTTATATCCTGCCTTTTTTAAGAATTCAAAGTGGCTTAGATCATTCTCCTTCAGCTGCTCTCAACCTTATCCCTACAGCAACAACCCTGTGAGGTAGATTGGACTGAGACTCTGTGATTGGCCCAAAGTCATCCGATTGGCCCCATGGCTGAGTGGGGACAAGAATCCAGATTGCCAAGTCCCAGTCTTGTGCCCTTAACTGCTACATATCACTGCTCACTACAACTGAAAGATCTATTTCCTGACTAGATCCCATCCGGTGTGAAGTTAGGCTTTTTCGCCCCAGTGTGCATCACTTTATATTCACTTTATATTTATATATATTTCTCACTTCCTTTTCTCTGAACGTCCACTAACAATTGGGTGTCACCCTCAAGCTCGGTCAGTTCACTGCTTAGTCCTAAATCCAGATTATTTATGAACATGAATCAGGTTTGTACCAATACAGATCTCTGTGGCCTCCACTATTTATTGGGATAATTTACCATTATTCCTTTTCTCTGCTTTCAGCTCTTTAACCTGTTACTGGTTTATAAGAGAATTTATACTCTTATTCCATAACTGTTCTTCTATAATTCAGACCGTACAGGAATGATCAAAAATCAAATTTGTAGACCTCCATATAATAGGGTTCCATCTTCTTGTTTGTCTTAAAGCTCAAACTTATGTAGGGCAACATTAGATGAAGACATTCTCCTTCCAGAAAAAGTTGTCCTCTGTAAATTCAAGACCATAGTTTAATGTGTGTGCTGTTGTTTTTCAGCTAACCAGTCACCTTCCAAAAACTGCACCCATGCCTACCTCTCTCCATTTCCCCTCCTCCGAGATGAGCACAATTCAACTGCCTACGACTCTGCCATTAGTAAGTATTCTCTTCCGCACTGCTTTGCAAGGAGGGCCACTGCTTTAAGAACTCGCTTGTGAGGCATCTGGCTGCCTCTTCTTACAAATAGAACCTGCAACTACTTGGACAATGATCTGAGTTATCAGTGCCTCCGATTTTCCTGAGAAACTATGACACTTATATGACAGTCCAGTGCATGCCGACACACAGGTAAAGGACCACTGACTTCAGTGGGGCTCAACTCAATATTTGTCGTGAGGTGGTCTCACGTTTCAGTTAACTCACACAGCAGGCCATATATCAGCTATAAACTTTTATTGCTACTTTCTACAAGATTTACAACGTAACTGATAAACTCCGCTAAGAAGCTCCCTACCGGCTACAGTTGCCGCTTCTTTCTGAGTTCTCTACGAAAGCATCACGTGGTATCAAACCTTCCTGTCTCGTCTTTCCACCCAAGGGCGTGACAAACCCTCGTCCCTTCGTCGAAATTGAGTCTGTCGTGTCAAGGCTCTTCTATTTCGGGCGGATCCTACTTCTTCTGCTGAACCCTGTCCAGCGGCTTCAGGGTCTGGAGCCAGGAGGGCATCTTCCTCAGGCAGTCCAGAGTTAGAATCAGAGGGAGCTACTCTCTCAGACGCTTTCCCCTCGGTCTGCGGGGAGGTTGCATGCTCAGGGGCCAAGGGATGAGGTGGAGGAGAGGTTTCTTGCTCAGCAGCCTGAGAGTCAGGCTGTGTATGGGCCGTCTGAGCATTGGTTCTCAAATATAAGTCTCCTTGGTCAATTGCCAAACTCTCACTGCCAGCTCCTGTCTCTTCCTCGCGAGTATACATCTTGGCCGAGACTTCAGGCACGACAATATTAAATCAACACAATATTATACAAAGTTCAACCTACCATTATAGAGCAGGGCTGGGGAACCTGTGGTGTTCCAGATGCTTGACCACATCATCCTTTATTCCTTACCATTGACCAAGATTGATGGGAGTTGGAGTCCAACAATACTTGCCACTCTAGGGACTTCCGAGATTTGGCCTTTGTGGAACTCATTTGGCTGGAACAATTGTGTGATCAAGCACACAATTACTGTTCAGTATAGATTACTCAATGTAGCATGTACATTGCTCTGGAAGATCAGATAAAAATCCACTATGTCCATTGCTTTAAAAACAAAACCAACTTCTTTGTTTCTTAGGATCTAGTTTAAGTGTTGGGATGGATCCAAATTTGCCCTTCCACAAAGAGAAGGACTATTTGACTGTCCCTTTAGATCCAAACCCCCATCTGTGCCTTTAGATCCAAACCCGCATCTGTTCTGAACATGCAGAACCAACAATAAAAGCATAATATCAGAATGCATGTGATGAGAACTAAGTTAGAGGGTCCTCAGGCCAATTTAACAGAATATAAATTTAATAAATGAATGAATGAATGAATAAATCAATAATAAAATGATAATAAATGAGATGAATCTATACAGATTTCTTAGGTACTATAAAATTATTTTGCATATTAAATGCAAGCAAGTTCTTTTTCATGGAAAAGCCTTAAAAAACCAAAAATATTTACAAGCATGCAGTCCGATGCTAGGAAATTCTTAAATTGGAAAAGGCATAGAATGCAATCAAGACTAAAATGGTGACAACTTTGAAACATGTTCAAAAACCTCTTACAGAAGTTTAAATGAATATAATTCACAACTGCTATTTTTCTTTTTCAACAATAACAATAATAATTCCTTAAATTTGTGCATTTAACTTGAATATATGCAGTGTTCAATAAACACTCCCTTCTGATTGGAAAAAAAATCATATCTAGATTTCATCCTTTCCCCTCATCAACACCTACTTCGATTATGTGTAAGCTTTTGTTTACTATGGTTTGATTTGGAGTAATAGGCTGCTTTAGACTCATGTGTTAGATTTATTGATTGGTGTAGATTCAAATTGACCTAATGGCTTTAACACTTTTTTTGTTCAGAAGCAGTTTAATTTGAATTTATGCGTATGATCTCACTATCTTGTCTTTAACAAAGTATATTCATCTAGTTATATCTTTTCCCAAATTTAAATTAACCAATTTCTTTGTAAGAAAAGAATGTCGAATTACCAATGGTAGTGGAGATTTCCCAGGGCATATTCAATTTCTGTATCTACACCGAGATTTTAGTAATTAAAATATGATTGCATCATCTTTGATCTTAAAAGATCTTTTTTTCTACAATGATGTGATAAGTGGAATTTAGCTGCATGTTTATTCTGTTCTTTTCCCCAAAGAGCTATATTTCTTATGTATAGTCAGTCATTAACCCATCCTAAATAGTCCTGTTGATCTAACACAAAGTATTGTATGAAATTTGCTTTTATTGTAGGCGCCTAATAGACAATTAGGCAATCCTATGCCCATTTATCTCAGAATTGAATTCAGTGAAATTAGACATGTATAGGATTGCACTGTTATTGATTCTAGAATGAAATTACATTTGGAAACTCTCATCTTAAATTTCTTCCTATCCCATTGCTAATTATGATTTTAAGATCTTCATGACACAGAGCAATAAGATTAAATAGTATTCATATTTCGTATAACTGATATCCATGGACTATTAAAATGTGGAATTATAACCGTTATTTTAGGCCTCACTCTTACGATTTATTTCACAATAATGAAGTAATTAAATAATGGAGCAGTTGATATAATACTGTTGAGAACAAATAACCGTCCCTCTTGTTCATTGTCTGACTGTGAGAGAGACAGGCAACACCAGCAAGTAATTTTATATAAGAAATGACTATTTATATGCACACTAACAATAGAGAGTTAGTCCATTTCTTGTTGGGTCCAGCTACTCAAGTCATCATATACAATGAGTTTATATGTTTAGCTTTTTGCACTGATTAGTAACAGAAAAGATAATCACAGAAAACATTCAGTTACTTTTGTACATGGCCATCTTGACCTACACTTCTTTTTAGTACATCTGCTATCAAAACATCTTCCTCTAGACTTATCTTTACAAATTCTGACCTTCTTGACAGAGGTTATTTTATATTTTCAAACTTCGTGTCTTTCTCCAATAAGACACTAAGTAACTGACCCTGGTTTGGTCTTGAGGGAAAAAAATACTCTTCAGTACAAAGGTTTGCCTTTGGTAACCTGTGTCCTTCTCTAGAATCCCTTTGTGTGTCCTCAGCAACCCATTTCCAGTGCTGTACTTAATTTCTAATATAAGAAGTATGCGGTAAAGTATTTGTCAGCCTTGCTTACAATGTGTGTGCACTGCAAATTATACAAGTTCCAAGTCTTAAGTGCATTACATTTCCCAGCGTATTTGTCACGAATGGATACTTCGCATTCCATCTCTCTCTAGAATGTCTCCTGTTACATCCCTTGATTCTAGCTGCAGTGATATTGGTCATTTTATGCCAATAGACATAAAACAAGGCCCCAGTCCTATATATGTTTACTCACTGAGGCAAGTCCCATTAAGTGCAACTCCCAAGTAAATGTAGGTAGCTTTCCAGGTGTTATCTGGTGAATTAGTCACACACATACTTTCTGTCCGATCCTGACAATGATGATAAAACAGTAATGTAAAGTTAGTTCTTCTCTCTGGTTCTGAAGTTATCAGATGCTTTTTTTAGGCTGAAAAACTTAATGTCCTTCTAGTGACAGAAACCACAGGCAACTGAACCAGACAGAACTCCACTGAAATCAAGATTAGTACGTCTCTTCAGCTCAGTCTTTCCACAGCTTGCACTGTGTGTTCGTGGAGAAGATTCCAAATGCTATTACTTGCAAATGGAAAGAAAAAGAGAACCCTGTGGGATAGTGGGTGGGATTGCACAAACTATGGTCACATTTTATTGTTGTGGATCTCTTGTGCAGTCTGCACTGAGTTGTGAAGTTGCTGCATTGTAGGATTAATTTTCTAAAACCATGGAGAGAATCAGCAATCCCTTCTAAGGTTTCCATGCTTCACCACAGCTTCTTCAGTAATCCAAATCTGGGATTGCCATTTTACCATTGTTGGTATGGAAACTCCATAGAATCCGCTGGCTAGAGTGGTTGCAGAACTGGCCATTTCTAAGCCTTCAGTCTTTACCTGTTGTCCACACCCTAGCAACAGATGCAACTTTGCACACTTTATTTCCATTGGCTGATTGATGTGTCCATCTCTCCATGTTAAAAAACAAGGAAGGAGAGGTAGTGGCGGTGGCGAATCATGGCAAAACTGTTACTTTTTATTTAATTAAACTCTCAGTGAGAGCTGGAGCAGAGTTCAAACATACAGCTACACTTGGGAGGGGAGGGAATGAACCTGCCTCAAGTCTGTAGAGGGCCAGTCAAAAGGATGCTGATGCAGTCTATAGGAGAGAATTAGGCAAGCATGGTGTGTCTGCTTGTACTGACTCCTGGAATGTGTGGTGAGGCAAGAGCAGGGAGTATGGAAACCATGCTTTTTAGGTAACCACATGATGGTTTGACCAATATGTTCAGGCAAAGTTCCATCACCATGGGAGCACCACAGGTTTCTTTGCATGCCCTAGGTTGTTGTAAGCTGCTTGGAGATTACTATTGGAATAGTTAGCAGCATACAAGTATAAAATAAGTAGGTAAGTAAACCTAGCCAGTGTATTATAGCCAGTAGTAGTCTTAGCAGAAAGTTTTTCTCCTCACTTGTTAGCACCCCTGATTTTAACTGCAGCACTTTGTATCATACACCATTCTGCTCCGGAGAATCTCCTAATCCTTGAAAGTATCTATTTTGCGAAGATGAGGCATAGGAGAGGATGGCAAAATCTGGGGGTCCAATGTGCATGAGTGAAAGTGCTTTATACCAAAGCAAAGGCAACATTAGATATACCCAAAGTTCTTTATAAAGTATGCTACACTTCTTTTTTTATAATAAATTTTATTATTTTTTTAAAACTGACACTAAAAACATCAATCATCAATTACATCAGACATACTGGGTCAGCCCCCTCTTTTTTCTTCTTTTTAACATTCCTTAGTCATATTCAAATCCATTTATAATAACTTGAAAACATATTTAAATCTAAGCCAAGTCCAAAAAAAACCACCCTTGTTTAAATCTATGCAAAGTCCTGTATCTCTAGCCAATAATAAAGGAAAAAAATCTCCAAGCCTGGTAGAAGTCAGTATCTTCTTACTCCTTCAATGGTAAATTCAGTCTGACCATTTCTGCACAGTTCAGGATCTTTTAGTCAATTCGTTGATGGGTAATTCTTCATTTTTCCAGTATTAAGCAAATAGACTCCTCACCACAATGATTACAAGTAAAATCAAATACATTTCTTATTTAGTAATGTTCCAGTATAATGCCTACTAAAAAAGAAATTTCCGGTTTAAGAAACTAAGGATTTTTGTACCACTTTCTCTACTCTATGTAATAAAAATACCCAATTTATGTTTAAATACCCAACATTCATTTAATATCTTTAGAAACATCTTAGCTAATCTGTTTGGCGACAACTACTACCTATAACTGATTTTATACAAACTTTCTTTATACTAAGTTGCTAATGTTTCATCTGCTTTCAGAAGCTTCAAGAAAATTGATGTTCTGAAATAGTATATATGCTGAGTGGTTAACAGTCATACAGATTGATTTTAATCAGACTCGATAGACCTGGCTTGTACATAATGCTAACCCATAGTTTATTTAACCTATATATTGTTGAAGTCTGGATTGCTGTAATGTGTGAAACACTAGGGAACCAGAGTTTGTTTACTATGGATGACCCAGAAAGAAAACCCATAGTTTGTTGTTGTGTTGTGAACTCTGGGTTGTGGGAACAAGGGATTGCTATTATGTGTGAACCTATGCCCATGGGTTGTTTATGAGTTGCAAGGCTATAGAAGTTATAGAAAAGACTGATTGTAAAAAATACAGCTGCTCTTTATGCCAGTACTACAGTTCTACAAAAGCATTTATGAAGCAAAGATAGCAGAAGGAGGAGAACAAACCATTCAGGAATTAAGAAAGCAAGTAGCTTTTTTGTTCACCTACATACCCTGAGTACTGGGGGGCGCGGAGGATGTTAACTATGGATTAAATAATCCATGGATTGGTATTCTGTGCAAACCAGGTTACAGTCTGATTAAAAAGTTAATCATTTTACCTTCATGAAAATTACTGTTCTGAGCAACATTTCTTTTATGTCTCAAAAATGCAAAGTCTGCAAATGCCTACAACAAAAATAGAAAAGAGGGTTGAGGATACTAAAAAAAGTGAAATCAGGGAACAATTGATCACTAAATTCCCAGCTACATCACACAATAGAAATGCAATCAAATGGGCTGGTCATGTATTAACGAAGCTTTATATTAAAAGGAATTATTCTCCAAAGAGCTGCATTGGACCTCCACACTGGACAGTTTTTATTGCAATTATGTTTAGAAAAATAATGCCACACACAGTAACAATGGCACACCATAATATGGGTAATTCAGTAATTCTAAACACAGGCATTTTAGCTTGAGGTGCTCTTTTCATTGGGATGGTGGAAAGAAATAGAAAGATCAAGTTTTTGTACAAGTTTTTAATATTGTAAGCCTCCTTGGATATTCCTTTGCAGTACTGAGAATGGGTGGAATATAAATAAATATAATAATCATAATAATATAAAAATATTGCTTGTGAGCCCACCCTGAAAATTCTTTGTGAAACTTACTATAGAAAGAGTGTATAAACCTTACAATACGGGTGACCAGGCAAGTGCATGCCTTCCTCAAACAGTAATCTGAGTATGCACAGAAAGGTTAGCTTCATACTGCCCAAAATGACATGGACCAGGTAAACTTCAGGCTTGATGTAACTCCTGAAAGTTCTGTGAAATTAAGAAGTAATTTAATATTGGTGTGGCTGGTGATGGTGTTATGGCAGAAATCAGATTTATGTTAAGCCCATTCCTCTTATTCCCTTCTACTGTTCCCGGTGCCATTATATTTTTAGCTTTGAAGAACATTGCCAAAGCAAGTGCTGAGACACGAGGAATTAAAATGTAGTGGAGCTAAGTTATGGAAACTATTCTCTCTTATCCTGTTGCAACAACACAGCGTAGTCAAACTTAAAACATTAGTTTTTTATGTCACTGTGCTTTGGAAAGAGCTTCAATATAATATTATAAATTCATCTGCCTTATGAAGAGACAATTTCTATGGCAATTAGGTATTGTATCTCACCTCATGTTTTTACAGTAAACCTTTTAACCCATTCCAATCATTGTTTTGTTCCTACTGTATTTCAATGTACTCTTTTAATCATTTTTTATCACTAGAATCAAAATCAATCAAGTACCTGTAAGCTGGCTTGAATGCCACTTTTTGTGCATTGGAGGGTTCAAATCAAATAAAAACATCAAATCAAATCCATCTGAAGGCAATGGGAAAATAGTGTAATTTCCACATAGAGGAAGCACTGTATAACAATACAGTATTTTGGGCAGTAATTACATTTAATTGAATCTCGTCCACACCAAGGTCTCAGAGTAGAGAACAATGAATTTCACCATTCCTGGTCACCAAAATATGGCCAGAATGAGAATGTCATACACTGTGTCTTGAAGCATGCTCCAACTCTGGTGACTCTTCAGTATTCCAAAGTGGAAGGGCCTCTGTCCATGTCTTGGTCCAGCCACTATGTCTAGTTGTCCAACCACCATGATTGGTGTTGTTGGTGGATGTGTGGGAATGGGTTTTCTCAACATTCCAGCTATGAAACACATTGGGTTCTATGCAAGGGTATTCTTATTTAGAACAGACCAATTAGAATGAATGGTGTTTCTTTACCATAAACAGAAAAATGGCACTCCCAGGTCTTTGGATGTCATAACAAACCACTGTGGTAAGTAGGAACCACTGTTTTATCTTCTTTTGATTTCCAGGCCCAAAACAAGCCACGGTAATATGCCATGACTAAGTCTGGAGGGCACAACAAGCTCACCACTGTAAAACCCTCACAATTGCTTGTCATGACATGTAAATCCAGCCACTGAAATACTATGGTAGGGAATGTTCCCCCAAGCAGTATTTTAAGTGCAAAGAAAATGCAATTATAATTACTAAAATCTTCTGATCAATATGTCCTGAGCTAAACCATACTCAGTAGGGGGTTCTTGTTTAATTCTTTTTTTTTTCACAGAAGAAGCCCCAAGTGCCTAATAACAACATATCAAACTAATGTTTTTAAGCTTAAATAAATGTATCTCTTTCTAAATGAGCTTCTGACTACCTTTGTGACTTTCCTATGTAGCCATGGTAGAAACTCAGCAAGTGATGGTTAAAAGTACAAACATAACAGTCCTGGAGCGGGCTCAGCTGGTATGTTCAGGGATGTTTCTGACACAGTGACATATCCTACAGTATGGATATATAGATCATCAATCATATATTGCCATTTTATAATTGTATACATATAATAAATAGTTGCACAAAAGATGTAAACATCTGAAGTTTAACCTCTGACTTGAACATATCAATATTTGCTTCAAATGAATATAATATATACAATAGGATAGCCTCGGATTTATCAATATTGTACAATTTATTACCAGAAGACCGAATGAATATGGTTTGTCTTAGCTTAATGTTATTAATACCACATATTAATAGACTGATATTATGATACATGGGCTTACCTTTTTGGGTTATCTTGTAAGTTTTAACTCTAGGAAAACATATATGAACTCATAATTTGTCCAACAGGAGGAATTAATAAATCTGCTTTTTTCAATGTGTAAAATTAGTTTATTTTCATGATTGCAGTCTTTGTAAAGCTTCTCTGAAAATAGATGTGTAATTAGCCAACTAAGTGATTATTATGGGCATTTTATTTTCCTTGGACCACCATGTGTCACAAAACTCCCTGCCCATTTTTCACCAGCTGCTTCCATGATTCAGCATGGCTTGTTCTTGGCTCAGTGAGATTTCTGTGATTTTGCTGTTTCGTTTGAATAATATACAAAGAACTTTACTGCCCAAATGACTCTGTTGACAGGCAAATTTGAATTGCTCTTTAAATACACGTATCGCCTTGTTCTACTCCCATTGCTTCCAGTTTTAAAAATCATATATAAATACATTTAATGAAATGCAAACCTTTGCAAAAAGCTCTCACTTTATATTTTTAAAAAGGAAGAATTCTAGGCCCTACTCAACGAATTTTCTTGCATCTTATTGCTTCATCTCTCTGTTTCTACTTTGGTGAAATCGATTTTATCTTCTAGTGAAACCATAGAATTATCTAGAAGAATCTTGGCACTGGTTCAGTACACCATTATATGAACAATTTCAATTGACCAAGTTAATGAACTTATTAACCACATGCATCTATTGTAGATACCAAGCAACAGGGTTTCATAGCACTCTGACATACATCATTATATTCCAAGATTATCTGATAGGATTTGGCATTCAGGTCTAATGAAGGACATATGGTTTCTTAGATTACTGTTACAGAGGAAGCTGTGTTGAAATAAATGTTTGGCTTGCTAATGAGAATGAAAATGGCGGGGTGGAGGGGGGAAGGGAAAGCTTTTTATTAATATTTCCATGCACTTTAAAAATGGTTTATTTTTTTTTAAATCCCTTTTTGTATCTTCTCCCTTCCCTACCTGGGTAATGTCTAGTTTATCGTAGCTTCTGGTCTGTTCTAATGCTACTGGGAGTAGTGACGGTGATCGTTGCAAGCTTTCTCATCATCTGCGCTGCGCCATTTGGGAGCCACGTGCTATACAAAGTAGGCGGAGGATTTTTCATCACTGCTGGTAAGAGGCATATTTAAAAACCCATTATTTTTCCAGACACCCCATTATTTTTTAGGCACCCCATTTTTTTTCCTCTATAGCCTAAAAGTTTCTCCACTGTCTTGTGTGTTTGACTTAAAAAATAATCTTAAAAAAAAAATCTCCAAGCATTCTTGTAAAAAATTAATTCTAGTACTCATAGAATTTTGACCATTTATATTGTTTTACTTAATTATTTTATTTAAAGTGTATAAACCGTCCTTCACTAAGTCCTTTGCTTTTTTTGGCTCTTGCCTCTTGGCAGAGCAGCAGAGGCACAGGCTGGGAGAGAGCGCTGAGTGGCCAGGGGACTGGCGAAGACAAGGGAGGAGCTGGGCGGGGGAGCAGAGGGCCAGGAGCAGCGGAGAGGAAGGGGGCGGGGCCAGAGAGGCTAGAGGGGCCAGCAGAGAGCAGAGAGGCGGGGCCACTGGCCTGAGGGACTGATAAGGCCGCGCTCAGCCGTTGGCAGCACCAACGGTGGCAGCCCTTGTCTGCCTCCCTTAGCTGTGGCCCGGGCTGCCCAGGGACTCCCTTCCCTGGGAGGCTGAGGGGTTTTTTTGTTTTGTTTTGTTTTGTTTTATTGTTTTATTTTAAATTGCTTTGTTTTTCTTTCTTTTTGTTTTGTTTTGTGCTGTTCTGTGCTTTACTTTGCTTTCCTTTGTTTTTCCTCCAATTTAAATTTATTTTATCCTTGTGTGTGTGTGTGGGTTTTTGTCTGGGAGAAGTGGGCGAGTAAGGGGTACTGCAGGATAGACAAGGCGGGGGACCAAAGTAGGGTCTTGGAAGAGTTCCCAGTGGCAGACCAGGAGATGGCCTTGGCAGGAGTCACAGGTGTTGCTGCAACATGTTCGCCCTTCTCCCCCAAGAGAGGCAGGGTTACACTTGCCCTTGGTGCAAGCTGGTGGTCCTGCTAGAGGAGGAGGAGGTGAGGTGCTTGAAGGTCAAGAGGTGAGGTGCCTGAGGTGAGGTGCCTGAAGGCCTCTCCAGGCCCCCCCGGGAGCAGACCCCCTCTGGACAGAGAGTTGAGGGAGAGGCCATGGGAGGAGCATCCAGGGAGACATGGAGACATGTCACCCAGCACATCTTCCTCCTTCTCCTGGCACCAATCTGGAGCTGGGAAACAGGTTCTCTCCACTTGGGGAGGCTGGGACTGATGAGGCCTCGGGGGACCAGCAGGACCCCCAGCCTGGGATGACAAGTGGCAAGGGAGCCGCTGTAGGAGAGGCCAGGCCCAGGGCATGATTGCCTACCACCACCGGGAAGACATGGTGGCAGGTGATTGTTGTTGGGGACTCCCTGCTCAGGGGCACTGAGGCGGCAGTGTGCCACCCCAACCTGGAGACAAGGGAGGTTTGCTGCCTGCCGGGCGCATGCATCCGGCATGTGAAGGACAGAGTGGAGTGTCTTGTTCGCTCCGGGGGTCACCAGCTGCTCCTGGTGATCCATGTGGGCACAAACGATGTGGCCAGGCAGGGTGTGGTTGGGACCATCAGGGACTCTGAGGCCTTGGGGAAGAGACTCAGGGAGCTGAAGGCCCAAGTGGCCTTCTCGTCGATCTTACTGGTCCAGGGATTTGGGACAGGAGGGTCTCTGAGGTGAACAACTGGCTTAGGATGTGGTGCCAGAAGGAACACTTCGGGTTCCTCGACCGTGGCACTCGGTTTCTTGCCAATGGACTTCTGGCAAGGGACGGGTTACACCTCACGAGGATGGGGAAAAGGTCCTTTGGAGATGCTCTAGCGAGCTTCATCCGGAAGACTTTAAACTTAGCTGGGGGGCGTTCAGGCCCCCCAGTAACGTGTCTGCACTGGACAAGTGTGGGGAGAGGATCAGGGCTCTGGGAGCAGGGTTTTAGAGGTACTGCAGGGACTGACAGGACTCCTACAGAGAGGGGCCAGGTATCAGGGAGGATGGGAGGGAGGCTGGGAACTCCAAGGAAAGGAAACAGTGGGAAGGAGTTGAGGTGCATGTACACCAATGCTAGGAGCATGGGTAATAAGCAGGAAGAGCTTGAAGCTCTCCTGGGAATAGGAGGGTATGACCTGGTGGGAATCACAGAAACTTGGTGGGATGAAAGGCAAGTCTGGAATGTGAACGTAGAGGGGTATCACCTTTTTAGAAAGGACAGGAAGGGAAAGAGGAGTGGGAGTGTGGCTTTATACATCAGGGAAGGGATAGGATGCAGTTAGATAGAATGCAGCACAGATGGGGATTTGGCAGAGGCAGTCTGGGTGAAACTTAGGGGTTTTGACAGGGAAAGAGACCTGACAGTGGGGGTATGTTATCGCCCTCCAGGTCAACTTGAGACCCTGGATGATGTCCTGACAGATCAGATTCTAAGGATATCTTGGGGGAGAGACACAGTAATTATGGGAGATTTCAATCTCCTGGATATTAGTTGGGAGACTCACTCGGCAGTGCCAGCCAGGTCACATCACTTCCTAGAAGCTATAGAGGGAGGGTTTTTCACACAGAGCATCCAAGGGGTGACGAGGTGGGGAAACATCCTTGACTTGGTTTTGACCAATAGAGAGGAGCGAGTGATCACTCCATCCTTTGCTTTGAGATCAGGGGACTGGGGACGTGCAGCAGGTCGAGCACTAGAAGCTGGGACTTCAAGAGGGCCAACTTTGGCCAACTGAAGGCCAGACTGGGGAAAGTCTCCTGGGATAGGTTACTGGAAGGTAAGCGAGTTGAGGAGGGGTGGATGGCACTCAAAAGGGAGGTTTTGGAGGCGCAAGTCTTGATGATACCTCTAGTTAGTAAGGTGGGGAGGCAGAGGAGAGTGCCGCCATGGATGCAAAAGGAGGTGGTTAGAGGGATTAGATGAAAGAGGAACCTCCGTAGGAAATGGGTACTGGGGCAAGTAGACAAAAGGGTATACTGGGAGGAGGAGGAGGCCCATTGCAGAAGGATTCTTCACAAGGCTAAGGCTGATTAAGAGCTGATACTTGCCAAGAGTATCAAAAGCAACAAAAAGGGCTTCTTTCAGCATGTAAATAGGAAGAGGAAGGGAAGACAAGTGGTGCGACCACTAAATAAGGAGGATGGAGATCCAGTGACTGATATGAGGGAACAGGCACAGATGCTAAATGACTATTGAGATTAGATTCACCTCCCTTGAAGTCAAGGGGCTCCTAAGGGCATTGGACATTACAAAGGCGCTAGGCCCTGACGGGTTACACCCAAGAGTACTTAGAGAGTTGTCAGGGGTTCTCTCACGCCCGCTGGCCTCCATTTTTGAGTCCTCGTGAGAATGGGTGAACTTCCAGAGGACTGGAGGATGGCATCAGTGGTCCCAATTTTCAAAAAGGGTAGTAGAAGGGACATGGGGAATTACAGACCTGTTAGCCTTATGTCCATTGTAGGAAAAACAATGGAAAGGCTCGTAATAGAGATCTAGTGATGCTAGATAGGGAAGGGAGGCTGACAGCCACACAATGTGGCTTCTGCAAAAACAGGTCCTGCCAGACAAACCTTGTGGAATTCCATGACAAGGTTTCAAGATGGCTAGATGGAGGGGATGCAGTGGGTGTGGTATACCTGGATTTCAGCAAGGCCTTTGACAAAGTTCCCCATGATATCCTGGTGGAGAAACTGAGAAGTTTTGAGATACACCAAAGTATTGTCCAGTGGATTAGGGCATGGTTGACTGACTGAAAGCAGAGGGTAACCATTAGTGGGGAATCATCGGGATGGCGGCCAGTGACAAGCGGGGTCCCCCAGGGTCTGTCCTGGGGCCAATCCTGTTTAATATTTTCATAAATGACATGGAAGAAGGGTGAACAATCTGCTGATCAAATTCGCAGATGATACTAAAACAGTTAGGACCCCGAGGGTGTGGAATGGGCTTCCACGAGAGGTCGTTGAGTCCCCATCGGTGTGGGTATTCAAGGATAGGCTGGACGTGCACATGGTGGGCATGTTGTGAGCAGAGCCGGCTGGTGCCGGAGGTGAGATTAGATGGCCCGGGAGGCCCCTTCTGACTCGCTCTGTTTCTATGTTTCTAATTCCCAGGATAATGTTGCCTCAAAGTAAAGCCATTTTGCACTGATCTTTTTCTAGAATGAATAGAACTAGAAATGCTAAAAAGCCCTGTATGGCTATTTTTGTAATTAATACACAGTCTGCAGAACTTTGGGAAGGAAATGGTGAATGTTACTCACTGTTTTCTGTAGTCTTGGTCACTGCAGATAGTTGACTGCAAATATGTGGTCACTGAGCTCTGCTTGGCTCTTCTTCACTTTTGTTGCCCACAGTGAGTGCCCAGCTCACCCATTCCTAAGGTTAGCCCTGTTAGACGTGATGATGGTGTAAGTGGTATAATTAGAAGGCTGATCATAGGACTGAGGTGGACCCCAAAAGAAAAGAAATCTCTATTTATTTATTGTCAATATTACTACTAGCTGGGCAGTGAAGAAAGCTGACAGGGAGAACATTGATGGGTTTGAAACATGGTGCTAGAGGAAAGCTTCGTGAAGACTCTGGACCAAATGTGCAACAATCAACTTTAACCAGAACTTTTCATAGAGTAAAAATCCCAGAACTGAGACTGTCATACATGGGACACGTCATGAGAAGGCAAGACTGACTGGAGGATACAATTATGCTTGGGAAAGTCAAAGCGAGAAGAAGAAATGGAGGACCAAATATGAGATGGATTGAATACATGAAGGAAGCCACAGTCTTGAATTCGGAACATCTGAGCAGGGCTGTCATGGATAGGACAGCACATAACAACAACAGTATTACTGCCAAAATGTAATTTGATTTTTGATCTGTGGAGGAGAATCACAGAATTTGTGCTTGAAGCAGTGGTGGAATCTAAGTGGTACAAAGCAGAGGCTAGAACTTTGCTCCAGTTGTGCCCTTCTGGTAAAATTCCCTCTGCTTTTGATTTCCGTCTAATTTCTTGCGTGGGGTTCCCTGGACCTTCTCAGACAGCTGAAGACCATTTTGACTCCTGCTATCAGTCAGGGATCCTCTGTTGTCACAGCGACAGCTTTGCCCTGGGTTCTTTTTGGCCCACTCACTTCCTGCTAAATTATTCCCTTTGATTTTTCTCTCAGTTCCTGCTGCAGTAACTTGGACCCCATAAATTGTCTGAGCAGTGGAACTGGCCTGTTCCTTCTGCATGTATCAATATGTACCTTGGCAACATCCACAGTGAGAACAAAGTCTGTGAAGTGAACACGTGGTTGCTTACCCATCAGCATCGTTCTAAATTTACTATAGGCACTAGCCTGAAGCTCCTGTCACTCTGCTCAGCACCTGTTGGGTTCACATCTAGCTCTTGGAAGCTTTGTGCCCTTAGCAGTGCTTCCCTGCTGATGAGTGGAAGGCACTGCCATTTGGGAAGAATAAATAAGGCCAGAAAATTGCTCTTCAATTCACAGGCACTTCTAAAGGTTCTGTCTCCTTCCTCTCCCCTCCTCCTTCTGCAATAAGCAGGATTGTGCAAGTGAAGCAGACTTGGGAGAATAAATATTAATGACCGAAATGGCTGACCTCAGAGACATCCGTGTCTTATCTCATTGCACAGTGTTGTATATCAAACATGGGTCTACTTTAAAAACAAAATAGCAGAATAGAAGAGGGATGGGGAGGGACTGGGAGAAGAAAGAACGTAAGTGCTTATTTATCCTAATCTCCCTCAGACACAAATTTTACATTTTAGAAAGCTTTTTCCCCAGCTATTTGTGATTCATTGCTACTTTCTTTTAAAAATCTGCTTTACTAAATAACAGACATTCATGCCCCAAGCCAAGGTCTAGCAAGCTGAAAATTGAGAAATACATGGCTGCCTGAAATGTTTCTAAAAATGCTTTGCCTCTTCAAGTGGGTGGTAGGAATGAGGTTAATCTCAGCCACTGGGCTCAAAAATGTTAGCTATGGTCATTTGTGACAATTGTCAGCGTAAGAGCCTTCCCAAGATAAATAGATTCCATTTGGCACATTGCCCCTTCATAACGAACTGACATTGCAATTAGGCTGGCTCTGGATCTTTTCTAAACTTTTCAAGCATAATTCATGTTTTCAAAGAGGAGAAGCTAGCAATAGAGTGTTAGGATACTGTCCTGTTCATTTTTAGACAGGAAACCCATCCTACAACTCCCAGCATCCTCTGCCAGTGTGTTATTTCGTGGGAAGGCAAAATGGTACCAGAAGATGGAAACTCAGTTCAGTTTGGTTTTATTTCACAGATGTTGATGCATTCAAAAGACCAAACAGAACTTCAGAAACATGCATTATCTGTCATAACATGAGATGGCATGTATACACATTTTATATACATGTATAGAATGAAAAGGAGGGAATTAAACATACCACTGAAATACCCTTGAGTAGATTAATCAAATAGAAGAATATAATACATTTTGATGATCTCTGTACAAATTATGTAGAACCCCATCCAGAGATGAAAGTTATTAAAATATCAGTTTCAGCCCTCACAAGCTCAGAGTTGTTTTGGGAATACTGAAAAAGTGGCTATCCAATAAAACTGGGCAAACCAAAGAAAAGATCAACAAATATTTGGAATCTGTTATCTAAATAATTGTCATGATGCTAAATAAAATTAAGTGATATGCCAGGCCGATTGCACAGCAAGTTTTACAAGTAATAGTAATAGAAAAGTGTGAATCAGTATCTTAATCTGCAGATCAAGAATAAATTGTGCCAAAAATAATCTGAGAAGGAGCAAAATTACATGAAGCCCTAATAATGATAATTTACCGCTTTTGACATAGACTATTCATATGTGTCTTGAAGAAGGTGCAATTAACCTGCAGAAATATTGACCAAAATCTGAATGCTTGTCTTGCATTCCATGTAAGGAGAACCAGCCTCCAGATGCAGAACAGCTAGTGATGCACATCTGGCATCCACCAAGGAAATGCGGACAATTTGAGAGTACACGTCAAAGCCACAAATCCATATTGGAAAATCACTTAACAACTGGAACAAGATATCTGTATTAAACACTTGGAAAGCATCAGGAATAAATTGTGCTCCCTGCCACTTAGTATTAAAAACAAAACACAAATTACGGACTATTTCATGCAGGTAATATAAAACTTCTATGAACCGCTCAGAGAATATACACCTATCGCACCTAGATACCTAGTGACTTTCAAGTGACTTCTTCCCACTCTGCTCCCCAGAAATTCATTTGCGCATAATATTTATGGGGGATAAATATTATGGGGAAAAACATAATCTTTATTTTACTGAAATTAATGGTGATCAAATTGACCATAGAAAAAGCCATATATCCATGAAGCAGTTGCTTCAGACCCACTTTCAATAAGGAAAGGAAAGCAATATCATATGCATGTACTACGAGCATAGAGTTCTAGATTCAGCCAGTCTAGGTAAATGGAAATCAGAAGACAAACAAGCCCCAATTACATCATTGAGCAAAATGTAAACATACTTTGAGCAAGTATAGAATTCTAACAGATACCCTTAGTGACAGAACAGGGCTTAAGTTATCTTCCAGATCACATGTTACTTGATCTATAGAATTCTGATAGACACAAATAATAAGATTCAACAATGCTTTCTCACTAGAAGAATGACACTTCATATCCCCTGGAATTCAATCAAAGGCAGATTTCAAATCTACAAAGGATTAAAATCTATTGGCTGCTGTTAACCAACGTTTCATACACTTCTCAACAAGATACTTTCAGATGAGTCAACGGTCAAGTGCTGACCATCTTTTCTGAAATTCAGCCATTTATTTCTCAGCACACTTTCAGCCATAAGCCAAGAGATTTGAGTTTATGCTAATAGCCAATTTACCAACTTCTGATAGCAAAATGATATACTTACTGTTGGAAAGTTGGTACAGTCACTTCATCTTATAATGGCTTTCTTCCATGATGAACCAAGTTGGTTAGTCAAATTATCCAAATAAACCAAATGGTCAATTGAGGTGTACACCATATGGCATTAGCTTTCAAGAGTTCAGGTATTTCTGAACTGGACCCTGGGGCTTTCTAGATTTTAATCAAACTTACCTGGATCTGATTTCAAGCTAAGTTACTAGAGCCTATTCTTGGGACTCAAATAAGTTTGATAAGGAATGGATATGCCAATTTTCTAGAATCCTTTAAAGTTATTGAACATATAAGATTTGCAGGAATATTATATGCAATTGAACCACAGAGGTCAGCCAGGCACCAGAAACTATTGACCAGAATGATTTTGTGTTAAAGAAGAAATTAATCAAAAGCATTGTGCTGTAAAGTAATGACAGTTTTTGGTGCCAGGTGGGAAACAAATCAGACCTGAATTACAGGGCAGATGCTGCTGGGAAAGTGCTCCTCTCACATATGTGAGAATGTGTGGACTCTGCACAGGTTGCAGTGCTCTTGTGTAATGTCCTTTAATTTTAGTGGGACCTGCACAGGAGAACTGACAGGTCTTGTACAAGAGATATGAGATGATACCACTTTCCACTGGTACAGTGGATTGCACTTCTTCAGTCCATAGTTGGGAAGTGGCATGTACCATTTTGCAAGGTTCTCCTGGCCTTCCTCTACTTGGTGTCCTCCAGATGTTTCGAATTTTGACACCGTTCATCCCCAGCCATAGCTGTAATGCCTAGTTTTTCCAGTGGGATTCTCAGGTATTTTACAAGTTAACTCTGTGATACAAACTAATATAGTCAAACTAATGGAGTCATGAATCTTTACTAAAATTTTGTTTCTTCTTCAGGTATTTTGTTCACACTGGTGGTTGTACTGTATGTCATCTGGGTCCAGGCAATGGCTGATCTCAAAAACTACGTGATTACGAAGAAAATGGACTGTCCAGACTTTTCCCTCTATGTGCGCTATGGCTGGTCTTTTATATTGGCTCCAGTTGGAATATTTTTTGCTATGTTTTCAGGAATGCTGTTTCTTCTAGTAGGACGTACAATTTACTTGCACTCTGATTAGTCAGGTATCTGAAATACTGGACTCATACTAAAGCTTTGCTGGAAAACTATTTTTATACTACACAATCCCTCCTACAGTAGTGTTTGTTGGTGCTGTTTTAGATCTGCTTTGGTGACTAGTGCAGTCCTGACACATCTACTCAGAAGTAAGTTCAGTGTGGCTTTTTTCCAGGTACGATGGTATAGCCAGGTGGGGCAACATGTGGCCCATAATTGGTATAAAGGTCTGGCACCACTTGGCTGCCCCTGCCCCCAGATTTCACAAATTGCTGAGATTTGTGACACCGGCATTAAAACCCCCAGTGCTTTGCTGACCAGTCCAGACAGCTAAAATGGCCAGATTTAGCTTCTTCTGGCTATTTTAGTCAGCAAATCAGCAGGGCATGTGCGGAAGTTGCTGCTGCCGCCATCATGGCATAAAGCCCACATTGTGAAGGGATGGCCCTTGACCTCCTGAAGTTGGCCATCCCTGATGTATAGGATTAGAGCTTCGGTTTATATGTGCTTGTTGTAAAAGACATGACACTCTTGTTTGAGGTAATAACATCATCTTGTCCTTTCAGATTCCTTCTTACCTTCATGAGTACTTCCAGATGTGGTTTTTCTTGTACAGCCTCCCTGTCTCATTCATGGAATTATATAGGGTGTCCTGTGTTTTCCCACCGTCTTCCACCTTGTTTTGTATCACCATCCGTCTTAAGAAAGAAGGATGGAATAGTGGCATACTCTGTCTTGAAATGCCTCCCCTCATCCTTATTGAAGACAACCTATAGTGTATTTTGCAACTTTATCTCTGTGTTGAACATACAACAAAAAATAATACAAGTAAGAATTAGATTTTGTCTGAGGTCCAGTTCAACAATTACCAGCACTATGAAGGAAACTTTGTGGGCATTTAAGGACGCCTTGCTTTCTTCCCAGATATATTAGCCTTCCAAATATATAAAATAGAGTAACACAGGTGATGGCCACTGGAGATGCAAAAGGTGGTATAATGTGGAGACCCTTTCAATATTTTCCTCCGTTCAGCCTGAAACATCCTTTCGGTAAAGCAAGACCTTCTGCCACAAATCAGGCCTCTTCAAGGACAAGTACTTTGCTCGTTTGCTCGTAGCCATGATTGCTTTTACTTGAGCTGACAGGCCTGGATTTGCCCATTCCTTTTTACAAAGGAAAAACTCTGTGTGCTGATCTAAGAACGTTCATTGCCAATAAATGAGGTGCAATTGTTGATGCAGGTTAGTTTTGCAGTGGTACAGTATCTTGCTGGGGGAATGAGGCAGGGCAAATACTGCGTATTGTGATGTACATGTGCAAAACCTAACCTGTTTCCAGGGAGAAAGAACCTGCTTCATCACCCTGATAATAATCTGGGTAGGAGTGAGCTTAATTACACATGCTCCCTCAATTAGGAAAGTAGTGTGTAAATTGGTCCTGAGAGAGGTGCTTGCGTAAAACAAATGCTGCACAGCATACCGTAGTCCTTATTCTGTCTATTTGTTTCAGTACTCAGCATTAGCTTTAATATGAGCACACATTTTTGTTTTTAAAAATAGAGTACAGTTGTCCATGTAATACTTTAGCCAATGTGACAGTACAAAAGATGATGTCAATGGAATTGTGCTTTGAGGCTGTTATGAATGTGCATAACAGCTTGAATACTTCCATGTGGTCCAAAATCATACACAGCCAGTGCAAATAAACTGGAACATTTATGGGTCATCTGGCCCACTTCTCTGCAACAACAGACTTGAAAAGTGATGCATGGTTTTCTGTTTTTGATTATAGAGTTTTTTTTATTTATTTTTTTGCCTTTTGCTGAAATGTATGTCTTGACCTGTAAGTGGGACTACTCAGTTCATGAGCCACCATTTTTGTGGTGAACCTGCTCTTTTCTTGCAGCACACATAGAGTGGAAGAAGGAAAATGAATAACCATGGGATAGATAAGTGCCTCGAAACTTACCACGTGGAACTTACCTGAAGCCTCTGACAATGTGCAAAGTTCATCACCCCCATTCACAGCTGAGGAACAGGGCCAATGGTAGCTATAGACACCCACCAGTAGGTGCACCTTCTCATAGTTCATCTATTCCCATCTCTCTCACATACACGCAGTTAATAGGAAGCCGATGGGAGAATCGGTCCTGCTGTGCAGTCAGGACTAGCACCAGGATTTTGGCGTGCTTGAGCAACTGTTGAGGCCTACCCTGATTCCATGTTATTTTTTTCTCTCAGACCACCACCCTGAGTAGCACTAGGTGGCTGGAGGAGGCTACCCTGTTAACTTCCTACAGTGCCCCAGCATAGTGCTGATTTGGGATATTATGGGAGTTGTAAAGGGTGGTCTGCAAGAACTGAGCAGGGCAGCCAGAAACAGGACATTCTGGAGGGCATTCATGCATTGAATCACTATAAGTTGGAGCTGGCTTGACATCACCCAGCAGCACTGGGTGATCAGAGCTGTAGCCAGCCGTCCAGTGCTGCTTGGATCCCTGCCACAGAAGCCCATGTTGTCCAGTCACCCCAGAAACCTGAAGCCAGCCCTGCTTGTGTGTTTAGCCACATGAGGTTCCTTTTATTCTCATTCTTGTAACTCTGCAACAATCCAGTTTTTCTCCTTTAAAACCACCCTGAAAATAAACTTTCTACAAGTTTACTGGGAATTTTTTTTCTAGACTCTACCTCTTAAGTCCTGTCCTGATAATCAATCTGTATCTACGATACTAATAGAATTTCCTCTTTCTGCTTGTTTCCTGTCCTGCAATGTTTCTGGGTGCAGTTAAAACCCATACAATTTACTTGTATGCATATTTGGCAAATCTAACCCAAGCCAGGAATGCCTTAACTCCCTCTCCTAGTGGCCACTTCACTGAAAGGAATGGGAGTCCTATTTGCATGCATCAGAACAAAATGTTGAGCTCCAGGATTTAACTACATGCTACATCAGCCAGGAGAAGTGATTAACAACTGAAAGTATCTCAAATCAACATCCTGATAATATGGGCAGATTTCAGAGATAAAATTCTTACCTCAACATTTGCCTGCAATACATAATTGGATTTCTTAAAATATATATCTGTATAATGACATATGTTTTCTATGAAAAATGGCTGTGTACGTTCTTTTTTAAATACAAAGTTAATTCAGAAAACATTTGTATAAAGAAAGGTTTCATTCTTTTTTAAAACTGCTGAATTTTATCCTTTTAGCACTACCATAGTACCTACTACTTGCTTGCATAAGTATTCTACTTATTTAGTTGTTATATTTATATATCACCTTCTTCCTAGCCCACCCCACCATGAACCTCTGGGCAAGATACATTGGCTTTTCATTCAGCCACCTTTTTCAGCTACTTGAGCCACCTGCCACTGGTGGCCGACCATTCTCCAGAATAATATTTGCAAGACTGTAACAAATACAGACCCCTTCTAGCAGGGCTAACTCTGAGATTATGCAGAGTGAAGAAGTGCCTTAGGTGGCAGATGCATGGAAATGATGGGGAATGAGGGAACTGACTCTCTCAGTTATTTATATCGGTTGGAGGAGGACAGAGTTGTGTGCATCACACAAAAGAGCCCCTGAGTGTGATGAAGGATGCTTTCCTGTTGCCCATATCAAATCAAGATTCGACTGTCAGCCTGGTTCCAGGCCCACTGGAAGTGACAGAGAGATTATTGCCCTTTGCAGTAATATTTTGACTCATGTATCAGCTTAAGACCACCTGAAGGGACCACGTGAGCATTGGACATTCACATGGATTCTGCTTACAGTAATTTTCAGAGGAGTAAGTAAAAATAAACAGTATTGCCTAACCACTGTGGAATGTCATGATCTGCACCAGACCAGGACCTTGCTTATGGATCTGTTCAGAGAAGAAGACAAGAGTTCCCATGTGACATCTCGACAGGTAGGTACACTGGCAGGGCTACTAAATGAGAAAATGCCACTTCAGAATTGGTCTGAACCATTACATGAATATCTTCCTGAGCATCTGCTGCAGTCTGAACATTGTCCCATGCGGTCTGTCCAATTATAGAGCCAACTTTTGGGTTTTATTCTAGGAAAGTGAAATGATGTATTTAGTAAACATCTGGGTTTGGCATGCCAGGCCAGGTCTAAATCGGAGCAAGAGGCCAGGAACGGGTGTGTGTTTTACTAGGATTATGCTCCTCTCCTCTCCTCTCTCTCTGCACCCTTCCCTTCCCTTCCCTTCCCTTCCCTTCCCTTCCCTTCCCTTCCCTTCCCTTCCCTTCCCTTCCCTTCCCTTCCCTCTACACTGCAAGATGGGAAGCATGTCTCTGAACCAAACCCAAGATAGAAAAAAAAATCCTGGGACTTTTCTGCTTTAAATTATGTCTTCCCATTGCCTTTTTGAAATGGGTGACCAAATATTGGCTTTTACAAATTTAAATTAGAATACTTATTTCTGAATTTGCATCTAAACATATAAATTAGTCCATGCACAATGGAGTTCACATAAGTTAGCCTTATACAAATTATATGCAAATCTGTACCCTCATCTATCCACCATATTGGTGATGCATTTTCTATTTTTTGATGATTCGAAAGTGGCCACACTATCAAAGACCAGTGTTCCTATGCTCCCTGACTTTTTTCCAGCATATATCTTGAAATGCCAGAATCAACATTTTACTTTTGCTATACAGGCAATTTCTGAAGCAAAAATCTCTGTGTGTGTGTGTGTATTTGTGTGCTTACCTGTGCCAGATTACACCTTTTTAGAAAGATTTTTTTCCTCATTGCAACTCATCTGCTTTCTGCAGCAAATGTACACAGAACAGGAGTGGGTCCTGTTAAAGCAGATGGGCAATTAAACCAAAGAAGGCAAAGAATGATATTTTAAAAGATGTGCCCATAAATTATGTACAGGTGCATGGTTAACAAGAAAGCCATTATAGGGGAGACAGAGAGAGGAAAATAGTGGTGTTTCACTAGTAAGGGCTTTCCTTAATAATGGTTCAGGTTAACGCTGAACAGATCTGATAAAGCAGAAGTTAGATTTGGCTCTACTGTTTGATCTATGGAAGATTGGAAAAGACCTCTGACCCCTGGTTATTTAATAATAACAACAAAATGATACCCTTCCCTAAAGTAAGCTAAATATATATTTACTGTGTGAGTGTGTATACACACACTCTTTAGGAAGTATAATATTTCCTAAATTATACTGCAGAAATGAAGAAAGCTTGGGGGTAACCACAAAGGGTGTTTCTGTGAGGAAAGAGGCATATGTTTCGAGTTCCAGCCCTGAAAGCTGCTCAGTGTTCTTGACTCTACGTGTGTGTTTTTGGCACAGGCTGGATCTCAGGGTCCTATTAAAAAATGAAGTAGACCCTACAAGTCTGAAATGTGCCTCTCTCTTAAACTGCTTGCATGCATTCATTCAAGGTGCATGAATCTGAAACTGAAGAAGAAATGAAATAGCACTATGTTGGTTTCTTCTGCTGAATTCTGCTTCATTCCACAGCTGTTATGAATAGTGAAGGCAGGAAAAGTTGACTGCCTAAAAGTTGCAATAAGATAATGGGGTTCTCTCTTGCAAGCCAGTAAATCTTAATGTTGGACATGCTGCTTTCTTTCAAAAGGAACCACATTATCTAATTGGTCCATGTGATCCCAGGTGCAGAGAGAAATTCACACTGCAGCTCGGTAGCAACTAAGATGCAGTTGTAAGAAGACAATAGCATAATTCTTAAACAAGCCAAAACTGGATCAGAACGAACACAGGAAACTGCATTATATACCAGCTCAGATTATTGGACCATGTAGCCCAGTATTATCAAATAATCTGAGCTGGATTGAAAATAACTCTCCAGGGATTTAGGCAAAGGAATTCGTCATATTATGGGACTGAATTGCAGACCACTACTAGAAGGTTCACTAGTTTGGGTGGCTTTCAAGGGAATTGGACAAAGTCATGAGAGATAATGCTCTCCATAGTTGCTAGTCCTGATGGGTATATGCCACTTCCAGTCTCAGAGAGGGCCTGGTTATGTACATCACTTGCTGAGGCACATGGGCAGGAGGGTCTATTTGTGGGTTTCCCACAAGCAGCTGGTTGGTCACTGTGTGAGCAGAATTTACTAGATAGACCCATAATCTGATCCACTATAGCTCTTCTTATTGTCTTATGCATGAAGATGTATACTCTGTCCAAGGCTGGCCTAAGACACTTTGCTACATGAGGTGAGGAACAAATCTTCACATCTCCTCATTCAAAGTACAAAAACCAACTGATGTAGCAGTTGAATTTTTCCTCAACAGGGACAATGAAACACCACACTTGAAAGTAGCTGGTTTTTCCTTTGAGCATTCAAAACCCACACACTGTATTCCTTGCAAAGTGTCCTTAATTGACCCAAAAGCACACATCACCCAGAAAGAATATCTGAGTTTGTTGAACCTAATCTAGAATTTCCCTCCAGAAACTCTTCTCATGAACATGCCCGGGCCTCATCCCTTCAAGGAAGTGCCTTCCGAAAGTGAACATGCTGATCCTGTAATTGGGCTGCCCTCTTTTGCTGACACCCCTTTATGGGCTGAAGAGCTGGGACTGCCTGGCCTTTGTCTGAGAAGCTACCATGGCAGGTCCCCTCCCACCTGATGTATACCTTAAATATCCCCATGGGATGCACTCCCACCCAAAGAATCTGGCCTTGGGATAAGTCCCTCAGCTTCTCTCATCTCCATGTTTTGGCACAGGCCGCCTGCTCGAGCCCACCCCTGTTCTGTTTCACATTCCAATTTGGATTATTTTGAAGTCCAGTCTGCAATCCTTGAGAAGGAATGGCCAAAGCCACCACCCTTCTCACTCCGGTCACTTAGGGAAGACAAGGCAGGAAGTATGGCACACAATTATCTACTCCAGCGCCTTGCTAGTGCTTCCCTGACCTTACCAGCTGAGGCATCCAGCTTCTTCTAGCCTCTGGCTATGCCAGTGAGCTGTAGAAGACTATTTCCCATAGCAGGGGACTTAAGTACCCCCAAAATAGAAACAAAATCCACCTATTTAAAATTAATTAAAATCCCACCTGTTTAAGAAGACTGAAAGAATAATGGCAAGTGCAACGTGGAAGAAAAATGGAAGCATTTCCGGCCTGCATCACAGTGACTTAATGTTATGTGACTTTACTTTGAAACAGATCATTCACATGCAGTGCTCTTAATGGTGTCCATCATCACATAGTATATTTGGGAGCTATTTTAAGTGCGGATCGCATTACCCCATTGCAGCACTTGGCACCTGTGGTCCTGACTTGTATGTGCCCGATCTAAACAGAAATCATCTTGTAGGTTTTTGTTCACTGAAATAAATCATTGACATGACTTACATGGCTTAGCTCACTGAAATTAATAGTAAATTGTGGCTGATGATTCTGGCTTGCTTGAGAAGACACAAGGCAGAGTTCCTGGTTCACATGGATCAATAAACAAACCATGGATAAACATCCTTGGTTTAGCCAGTTTCACCTGTGGGAGGAATCAGCTTGGAGTGAGAGGATGACATGTAGCAGCATGATACCTATGCATGATTAATCCCTAGCCCCCTCGCCTATTGCCACATTGGAACTGAGTCAATATGTGGACAATCTTTTATACACAGGGCTGGGAGTGGGCACTGCTATTTTTAAATATAAAGCTAGTATCATAAGGTCCTTGTATGGTTTTCCCAGTTGCAATGTATGGCTGTGAAAGCTGGACCATAAGGAAGGCTGAGTGCTGAAGAACTGAGGCCTTTGAATTGTGGTGCTGGCGGAGACTCCTGCGATTCCCTTGGACTGCAAGGCGATCAAACCAGTCAGTCCTAGAGGAGATCAACCCTGACTGCTCTTCAGAAGGCCAGAAACTGAAGATGAAACTCAAATACTTTGGCCACCTAATGAGAAGGAAGGACTCCCTGGAGAAGAGCCTAATGCCGGAAACAATAGATGGCAAAAGAAGAAGGGGACGGCAGAGGATGAGGTGGCTAGATGGAGTCACTGAAGCAGGCAGTGTGAGCTTGAGTGGACTCCGGGAGATGGTGGAGGACAGGGAGGCCTGGAGGAATGTTGTCCATGGGGTTGCGATGGGTCGGACACGACTTCGTGACTAACAACAACATGGCCGCATGGTGTGGTGTGCAG